AAAAAATAAACTCATATTCCTTTGTTTACAGGTTTAATAATCCGATAATGAATTCAACGCGATATGGCAACAACTTGATTTTTAAAAGTAAGTATGATTTGTAACATGAAATGTTCAATATTAATCAACCTATAACATTTTAAAAACCGGTGTATCAGTAAAAACTTGGATCTAATTCAAGTAATTATAGTATATAATTATATTGTATTGTATTATATTGTATAATTCATGCGATTGTTTCCATGTTGAATTCATTTCCCCGCGCGCTCGCGTTTATTTTGGCCGACCTCTATACAATAACTGAATGCAACATTATTTTTTACTATTAAAGCGCCTGGGTACGAGGCTGACCTTGCCTACGAGTGTGGAACTAATCCGGGGTTTTGAAAAAAAATATCCAACGAAATAAAAAAATATGAGCCGGTCGATTTAAATAATTTGCTGAAGTTAAAAATCAACAGGGTGAAGATTACCAACCAGACAGCCTCAAAGTAATGATAACTTCCCTTGACAGACATCTCAGAGAAAGGGGATATACTTTTTCCATAATACGAGATAGAGTTTCACGACATCCAAGAAAGTTTTAGAGTGAAAAGCTAAATTGCTTCGAGAAAGTGGTCGAGGGAAAAGACCAAATTAAGCACGACGGCGATCGCAAGAGGAAGAAGAAATCCTTTGGGAGAAAGAAAAACTCGGCTACAAAACACCAGAGGTACTCGTGCAAACAATGTAGTGGTTACTTACTCAGTAGTTTGGTCTTCGGGGCAGGCAATAGCATCACCAATGGAAATGGACGACTTTAACATTGTCGAAGCGGACAATGGCGTTGCGATACAACACAAACTTCTTTGCTAACGAAGACCAGACAAGGTGGTTTAAATTGCAAGCCTCGGAATTTCAAACCACGAATGTTTTAAACTCAAGGAGAAAGTTTCTTCGGGAGTACGTAAGCCGAAGGCCTTATTTTATCTCTCGGTGAAAACCAACAGACGAGACGACCACGCGGACAATCAAGGAAACGATGATTCCACATAATCGAGAGTGATTCAGATACTGACAAAACGTTCATCGAACTGTTATAATTGTTATTGTAAAAAGTTGAAACGTTAATTGAAACTGTTTTATTTAGAAATTTAGTTGAATTTTGTGACTTGAACTCACGAGTGCGGAGTGCATGTTTTTTTCCAAATTGCACTCGAAACTATGCACGATTATTGTTTATTAATTATATATTTTCTTTAATCTTTTGAGCATGGATATAATTACTAAATTTTTATCCCAACAACACTTGGAAAATAGTAAATTTAGAATTATTATAATTTAACTTCCGCTATTTACATTTTGTATTTTGAACGCTGATTGGCTAGTTAGAGTGAGTTTTTATTGGCTATGAGGAAAAGTACAATTACAACTCGCAATTAAAGAGTGGGATTAAGGAAGTCTGGCAGTTTCTTCTTTAAATTCGGATAACTATAAATTTAATCCTTTCTATAGTACTACGCAGGTTATTCTGAGAAAAAAAGTTACGAACACCAGACGTACCAAATGATGCAAAATGGACGATTTTTTCAAACACGATAACTAACCAGGTTTTAACGCTGGAACGAAGGCATTCGTTTTATTTAGAGTCTACAAAAAATAAAACTTTTGCAGTATTATAAACATTTCGCAGGTAATAAATATAAAATATCTCACTTAAACTGAACGGAATACAATTGACTAAGCCAATCGTCCCCCTTTGCTCAGGGTAAAACTCGAAATGATAAAACTTTTCATCTATTTCTCGCCTTCCTTATATATCTTTTAAAGAATAAATATTCGGGATCGATTATGGATTTAAGATTATACTCTTGAAGTTTTTAAAACAGGGTAAATCGTAATTTTTAGTGCACTGGATCTCAATGCTGAAATCGAAGTACTCTTAACCAATGAAATCTTTAAATTTGAAATTGATGTTTACTTGGCTAGCATATTGAAACCTTATTAAAACCTTTTTTTGTATTTTAGGTGCCGTACACTTTGGTTCTACGCATGCTGGAGAAAAACGCTGTAATTTATTTCCAAAAAAAATAGAAAAATAACAAAGAGAGAAAAAAGAGTGAAAAATAAAAACTTTACAGCGGGCCGTTGGGACATTTTGACATCTGTGCCTGATTTGCCGAGCACTAATTCTGCTCGGAGATTGTACCCCAGGTTATTTTGACAGAAAATAGTCGAAATGTAGCAAAAAAATTTTCGTTTCAATTTTTTTTTCTTGTATTCAATTTTTACCTGCGAAAATTTTTTCTTGTGTCCAAACTTTTTGCTTTAAACCTTTTTCGTGTTACAATTTTTTGCAGGTTATTTTGACAAAATGGTCGCATTCAAAGTCGCCAATGTTCTTAATCATAGACGGTAGAGTTTTTTTGTCAATTTTTTTTTCCTGTGTCCAAATTTTTTTCATCTCGATTTTTTCCTCTATCCAATTTTTTTCCTTTCCTTTTTCTTGTCCAAATTTTTTTCCACCCAAAATTTTTTCACGTGTCCAATTTTTTTTCATATGTCCAAATTCTTTTTGTGTTAATTTTATTCTTGTGTAACAATATTTGTGTGTTTACAGCGCGTTGGTTAAACGGTTTGAGACCTGCGCCTTATTTGCCGTGTAAGAGTAGATTGCCCGGAGATTGTACCCCTCGTATCAATTTTTTTCTTCCCTGCCAATTTTTTTCGTCTCAATTTTATTTCCTGTGCTCAATTTTTTTCATGTCAATTTTTTTTCTTGTGGCAAAATATTTTTTCAGGTGTCCAAATTTTTTTTCCTCTTAAATGTTTTCTTCTTTCAAATTTTTTTTGCATGTCAATTTTTTTTCATCTCAATCTTTTTCTTATGACGAATTTTCGTCCAATTTTTTTCCACCCAAAATTTTTTTACGTGTAAAATAATCTTTTTCATTTGTCCAATTTAATTTTTTGTTGTGTGACAATTGTTGTTGTGTAAATGTATTGTAAATCTAAACCTAACGTATAGTAAATCTACATAAAACCGGTTTGCCAAGGTTAAGTGTGAACTAACCTATATATCTCAGATTCTTATCCTAGATTGCAACGGCCATGATCAGACACACCTTTTTTCCCGACATTGGCACCGCATTTCTTCTAAAGAAGGTTGATTAACATCATCTCCGTCACGATCTTGGAGTTTTCGTGCCCTGGGGAAAACGATCATCTCCCTGACTTGTTCTAGGTGCAGGACTATGGGCAGCTTTCATAGAGTGGAAACGTGCGAGTTTCATAAAATATCACATCAAAACATGCACGGCAACAGGAAAATTATAAATTATTGATGTAACCCTCGATCTGTTAAATATAATGGAGAATTCCAATCGTGTTTGAAGCCAAAAAATATTCAACTTTATGTGCATAAGAATTTCAACCATATTACGTAACATCCACATTGCAAAAAACGGTGGTGTCAGACGTTGTGCAACAACTTATTTTTATTTAGGATATTTTTATTTATAGTAACGATATACTTCATGATTAGTCTTTAAAGATTGCTTTAAATTCGAAGGCTGTCTCTACTGCACCAGAAGTCTCTGGAAGTGTTATAGTGCTTTCATCGCAGAGATAATGATCGTTTGCAGTAATACGGAGTTTACGATTCACGACGCGGCTAGAGAAGACGCGTTAAAAGACGCGGCTAGAGAAGACGCGTTAGAGAGGCTTGGTAACAAAACGCGGCCCAAGCCAAATCCCATTCTGTTCCTTACGTTACCAAACACAATGCGCTAGCATAATATAAATGGAAAACGATTATATTAAACGAACTTCGTGATTGAACTTTTCGAGAAACAAACCGGCAGTCCAAATTGCACTAGTGCCTCCTGTACTGGAAACACAAAAGGTTCAGCCAAGAAGAAATAGAAAATGATGAGCTTGTGGTTGTAATTCGTTGTTTATTAATTTATGCAATCTCGGATATGCTTTTTGTAATCTTCCAGTTCTAGGATAAAAATGTGGACGCTACTGATAAATTACTAAATTTAACGATCGAATACTACAGAAAATGTAGTTAAAAGAATAAAAAGAATAAATTCATTACACAACAAAAGATAAGATCTTATATTCACGTTTTGAATGAAAAAATATACGATATTCGATATTGAAGTTCGTAGCGTAGTGATCACAACGTAAAATAGACAAAATTCCGTTGTAGAATCGTAGAGTACGCGTCGGAATCACACGCGACGCATTGGCCGCGCTTGTCACCAAGTCTTTCTAACGCTCTTTCCTAGCAACGTAGTGAATCATAAACTCTCTAATACCCTATCCTACGCCCGCCTGCAGGTGGCGAAGATACGATTCCAATGCATCTCTGAAGCGCAAAGATGTGCAAAGTGCCCTTGAAAATCTAGATAGCATTAACCCCAACATTCATTTCACCGTCGAGTTACCTACCATCTTAAAAAGCAGACAATCTATTGTCGAAAAGCTACAAAGTTTTTTGATCAAGGAGAAACAATTTCCTCCAACGTTCAAACGCGAATTCGTAGGGTGACAACTTCATCGCGAAAGTATCACGACTGAAGAGCTTGACAAACCAGCAGAACTCACTAGCATTCCAGGTAAATTCTGTCATCCAGAGAAACCGTAGAATAGTCTGTCGAAACGGTTACGGTAGCAACTACCATAAAGGGGACAGTAATAAACTTTAATAAAACTGGAACCATATATAACTCCCTATTACTCCCTATTACTCCGCTTCTAGCAAAAACAAAATGGCCAACAGTTATGCTTAGGAGTAATAAAGGAGATATTAAAACACTTTTTGAAAGTTTAGTTTCCACATAAATTATTTAAAACAAATCACCAAAATTTTTTTGTTAATAAAAACGCGTTTTTAAATTAAATTTGATAATATTTTCAGCGAAAGATCGACTGAAAGTAAATCAATAGCGAAACTGGTTAATTTTTTTACGCAATGTTTATTTCTTTTATAAAATGGTGTTTATAGCATAGCTACATTATAAAAAAAATTACCACGAGCTCGAGTCGATTACCATGAGCTGATAGCCGACTAAATAGTGTATAACTGTATAAAAACTGTATAAAAGTAGTAATATTACGTGAAATCAAAAAGTACGTTATGTGAGTGCATAGATAATTAAATTTATGGACAAATTTTTATGTTGTGCATAAAACCGCAATACATTTTTAAAGGCCTCATTTCAAAAAGTATGTTTACTCGTTGTCTGCATAATAATGTTCCATGGCTGGATATGTCGTGTAGACGGGAGAAGTGACAGTCTCTGGCATTGAGTGCAATTCTGTCTCAAATTGTTCACGTTTTTCACCATACACTTCTGCACACATGCTAATAAAAAAATAAAACCATGTTAAATAGGAGTTTTCGTTGGCTATGCATTAGTAAATATTATTCAAGGAGGTACGCGAAATCAATCTTCATTGCTCAACTGTTTTACGTGCGAGATTATGCAGATTTATAACAGCTATAGCCAGGCTACATCACAGGTAACCCGTTATTGTGTTGCTTTACATGAAGTATCCTCATCCTTAATTCAACTGCTGACATACCAGCGCAGGCGCCGCCATTTTTTTCAGTGCACTTCACTTGAATTATGTATTATATATATGTTTACATAAGGTTGGCAACTCTAGTCAACTGGCTTAGTTTTGAATTTTGAAATTTGTTTACGTCAACGGGACTCAACCAGCCAAACATATTGCGTATTTGCTGTGACGTAGGGCAGGGTGATGGGATCCCGATAGCTTTTCAAAAAATTCAACCGAAAAGAGTTTGTATTTTCGCAAATTTCACATATTTGCAATGGCTTTTAAAACAAAAAAATGTTTCGGAAAAAATTTAGGGAAGTCGGTTGCCAAATAGATTTAGTTTTTTGTGTATATTTTTGTATTTATGTACGAGTATTTTGATGAGTTTGTGTATGTAGTTCGTAAATGTGAAAATACGACTGAGAGTTGCAAAATTTTAAGATATACATAATACATAATTAAAGTCAGTGCACTGAAAAGATGGCGGCGCCTGTGATGATATGTGAGCAGTTGTATTAAGGATGAGGATACTTCATGTGAAGCAACGCAACAGCGGGCTACTGTGGCTACATGGAACACTGAAAGGCGAAGCGAAATGTAACAATTATCATGAATCTAACAAAATTTGAAAAGATTTGCTTATCATGAAAATAGTGAAAACAAAGAAAATAAAGTGAAAATAAAGAAAAACTAAGCATCTTATTTGTGATTTCTTGTTCTAGAGGTAGACGTGACAGGCATTAACAGTGGACAGCAAAAAATGAGTACTGGATTTTAGAAAATCCGGCTAGTCTGAGTAATAACTTCGATAAATCAGAAGCCATATCCTCGACAAAACTGAATTTAAATTTTCCATCTCATATGACTTCGGCACTGGAAAATTTTAAGGAATTCTATTATTTTTATGCGGAAAGACGTTTGTTTGTCTCCAACTGTAAATTAGAATAAAATGCTTTCGCTCTTTGTGCTATTACTCAGAAGAATAGCGACGGGCCTCATGTCGAGGTGCCTCATGACGTCATGATCTCAGATTGGCTGCCCTTGTATACGTAGCTACCAAACTTAGCTACAATTGGTTGACGACAGTTTGAAATATGAGATGGCGTGAAGTAGGATAAAAAACCCGCCCTTGATGAACAATTATCGAGGATCAATAGAACAACTCCAGTTTATTAATTATCATCATCATTCTATAACATTCCCGTGAACAGTGTTATGGTATTTAGTGTGAGCTATAATTCTTACCACGAGAAATAAATTTCATATTTCTCAGCACCCTTTTTTGTTTTTATTGCATAATATAAATATGTTAATACTAGGAGTTCTTTACCCCCAGTGCGCGTACACCTAATTCGTGAAATCGTCTTGCATGAACAATTAACGGGCATCAATAGAATTTTTTTTCAACGGAAAAAGGAAAAATCTCAGTGCAACAAGTGTAAATGTGGCTTACCTAAATACAGCGATAAGAACCAGAATAATGGCGATCGTAAAACACAGTGTACTCCATATAACGACTACAATCGTCAAATTCCTGACGATATTGACATCATCTTTGTCAATCGCACTGGCTATATAAAAATGAGTCACGAATTAAAATCTAATCAACTCAAATTGGCGATATTCGTAAATTATGAGAGGCGTATTTTTTCAAGCTAATTTTAGGATAGGTTTATCATACGATATTTCATATTATCGATATATTAAAAAGAATTAACAGGTTCAGATTAGCTAACAGGTTCAGATTAGCTAACAGCCACGTTTGAAATCGTCATGTCCAATTTGTCCTCACAAATGATACGTTGATGAAAGGCGAATTTCATCTTTGATACTTTTGATATTACGTCATCGTCCCAAGGAATTTTCTATTAATTTGTCTATTAAGTTTTGTTCATTTCTGAATATTTCAAGGACATTTTTTTGGATATTTCCAGCTGAAATTTGTCCTGGATAATTCAAGGACATTCTTCTGGAAATTTCAAGAGCAATTTATGTCCTGGATATTTCAAGGACATTTTATGTGTATTAAAATTAAGGCTTAAACGTGGGATTTTAGCAAATCTGCATTAAAAGCATTAGAAATGCATAATTTTGAGACAAATAGAATATTTAACCATATAGCAGAACGTGTTTATGCTTACCAAGACAGCTTCCGTTACTTTTTTCATATCCAGAAAGACAAACACATTCATAACTTGTGTTTGTGTTCATACATAGTGAGTTGTTACCACAATCAGGAGTATGGATACTACTAACATTGCATTCGTCATAGTCTGTGAAGAAAAAAAAGAACGTAAAAAGACTGTGCGTATATATCTTCCATAGGGTATAGTTATATGTAATATATAATTTATATAACATAATTATAAGCATTTACTTATGTAGTGGTATCATTGGTATAGATATTTTTTCATTAAATAGTGTACTACACACAACATAACCTAGAAATACAGGCATGCAGCAACACCAACAGCAATCCCTCGCTATTTCAAACAAAGTACTCAAACCTCTGAGCTAATCTGACCTAAACATTTTGTTTATTATGAAATTACCCAAAACTGGAATCAATTAATATTATATTTTATCGAGTATAATATATATAGCTAACGCTCCCATCATTCGGTAATACAAAAATAATCATACTGTAATTCATAAAGTGTAAAAAAGAGAGACTGAGGAAAATGATGCACCCTTTTAAAACACTTATAAGTTTGCACATTATGAATTATTTCTCTTACACCGCTTTGTATTGAAGTGTGTCCATGTTTGTTATCTGCCATCCTATATCTTGTTTCTTCTCGTTTTATTTTGAAACAAGTTTATGAAACGCTTTTACAAAAGAGTTTACGAAATGACAGTCAAATTGCTGACGACTTTAAAAACATTATACAAAATAAAATACGAAAAGTTATTTTGAGCAAACTTATCGATAAACTATATAAGTTATACAGATGATGGTGAAAAAGGAACGATAGATACAATTTTGATTATTTTGTATTTGCCGAGATCCAGTTTATTTTGATATGTCATTTTCCAAAGACATAATCGATTACTAAAAACGAGCACAACATTGCTCTTACTGTTTTTGAAAGTGTAAATTTGAATTTTGGTAAAAAATCTCACTCTAATGTTTTTAACGTCGACTACCGAGAAAATGCAAATATTCGCTAGATGAATATTCGAGGAATAACATTTGACGTACTGTTTACTTGGGCTGTATAAGAGTCCATAATATTACCTGGCGCTTAATGGAGCAGAAATATGGGTGATCTTTTTTCACTTTTATGAGAACTATTATTAGCTGTCAATTCATTGAAGTCGTTTTCACAATATAACCTGAGGTCTGACTAGCTCGGAAGAGCATTTACTTGACTTCGAAATAGCGAGGATTGCTGCATGCATGTATTTTTAGTTAAGATATAAGCCATTTTCTCTCTTGCATAATCATATTCTGTTGTAAATAACATTTCTCTTTGGTCATAATTCTGAAACTAGGGGTCCAAGGATCGTGCAAAGTTTCCATGCTTTAAGCAACCAGACGTCTGTCCCTATCTAACAGATTGAGGGCTTTGACTGCTGCCAGTGAATTTTAAAATCTAGGTTAAACAAATCACTGAATGAAGCAGAAGGATTATTGCTAATATTTCTATGATTAATTTAGTTGCTCGTGCAATTTTCTCAGTTCACAGATACAAAATGCACCTTTGTCAAATAAGTGTAACCACATGTATATGATGTCAAAAAATTTTATCCTGCAATTATTTTAAAGGATCCGGAATAGCCAAAATACTTGCATAGTAAATAATCTTAATGTTAGCAATATAAAACTGCACGATCCATCCAATATGATATATATTCACGTAAAAGATGTCTATACATTAACAGCACAGCGTCGTTTCGTCTGAAGCTGCTAGATCTCTGCTCCATGAAAATATATTTTCAGTATACTGTCGAATTATACCTGTGCTTAATTGAATGGTTGTTAATGCATAATAAAAGTTTACAAATTGCGTATATTCTTGAGGATTTACATGCAAATGCTACTAAATTGAAGTTGTCCGTCATTATATCATGGACGCTGGACGTGTTTCGCACGCGTGAGTTCAAGACGAGTTTGAACTGGTGACTAGCAAACGTTTTCAAACGTGCTATTATTTGGCTAAAATGGAATATCAGTTTGCATCAGCTTAACTTATCTTTTGAATTTTTTTTTTAAACAATATTTATTTCTTCACTTGGATGATCTTGAAAATATACGATAAATTGACTCGTAAAATTCATTAAAAGAGAATGTAAAAGATGCTTTAATTCGAAGAGCTAAAATCTACGATCCTAAAGTGAAAGAACGAAATAAATCTTCACAGGGACAGTATTACACAGTTTTTAGATTTTGGTAAATTATTTGTTCTTACATGTTTTTGAAAAGGTAGATTTCTTATTTCAAAGCATGCACGTATTTTGTAAGTTAGATATGATGTGGATTTATCAACAAATGTATGACACCTTTTTGAATTATTTTCATGCATCAATTTCGTTAAAATTATTTTGATTAGTAAAGCATTTATTTTTAAAGTTAACCTGGTTAAAAAAATTGTAGTATTGTTAAAAATTGTTCAAACTATTCGCAGAACAATTGTCAACATAGTTGAATCTGCAAATGAATCGACTTTATAATTGTACTTGATCATAGCTATTGGATTTTACTTATACGCGCCTTCGATCATTCAGCAGAAACGAGCATTAGCCGAATTCATATTCGAGGGGAAAGTCGATGGTAAATCTTCGTCAAAATATGAATAGGAATGGATAAATTTATACGTCTGATGATTCGGGTAATGTCAAAAAAGGTATCGTAATTGTTACGGTAAAAATTTTGTTTGTTTTCTTGTTCCGTCTTTGACCGTGTTATTTCAGAAACTCGTCTCATTTAACCGTCAAAATGCGAATTTAAGACGAGTTTCTCGTCCAGACGGGATTCCCGTCCAACTTACCCGTCTGTTTAGACGGGAAAGTTAGACGGGTAAATTCAGACGAGAAACCCATCTGTGACCGGATTCACATTAGACGAGTTTCCCCTTTTATAGACGAGTTTCCCGTCTCTAATATGAACTCGGCTATTATAAAATTTCACTGTTGGAATTATATTGAGATTTTTGGCACTTCACTCGATGCAGGTAAATTCTAGTGGTTTTAAAGGGTCTAAATTCGAGTGGTATTATACACACTTAAAATTCAAGCCAGAAACAGTTGATGGTAAAATGAGTCAACTATAGGAGGGTCCTGCAGGAATCGAGCCTACGCTTTTGCAATGCCGGTGCAATGCTCTTGCCACTGAGCTACAGAGGTAACTGACAAGAGCAAGCGTGGTTGGAAAATGCTGGAAATATATGTTAATTGCTTCAGGCGAGCGGATTTTGCATGCATGTATTTCCTGTTGCAAAAATATTCAAAGAAACGAAACTATAATTGGGATTTACATACCTTTCACACTGAAGAGGCCTTTTACTTCAGTGCGATTTGTGCTGTTGCTGATTTGGAGATATGCTCCAAGAAATGTGCTGTTTTGTGTGAAATTCATTGCATCGATCAATTCGTTTTGAATATTGTTACTGTTTATTCCAGCGGAATCATTGAATGTTGCAACGTAAACAGAACCAACAGATCCAGGGCTGCAATTGTAAAAAAGAGAAAATTAGACTTATCTAAATATATAATGCAAGATTCGTGACTTTACCGCCAGAAACTTTTGTTCTTTACCAATGGCATTTTGATAGTTTCATCGTAAATAATATATTTTCTATCAGTTTTATATGAGGATTAGATTTTGAAACAATATTTTTGCCCGCAAATGTATATGATTTTGCAAAAGTGGAAATTACGATAACAGGATACAATTATGTTTGTGCATGATCTAGGCGAATTCCACGTAGAATATCTGTAAATCATATAATAATTATAACCGCGTTCGATACGGATTTGGAGTCGATCGCTATGGAAGCTACAAAGCCGGGGGAGTAAGCAACTATCCAACGCTACATATCCAAATACATATCCACAACCCCTAAAAATATACGGCTATATTCAAAAAACAGTACACAGTGAAGTTATTACACATTTTTAAGTTTAAACGGCACGGCACGGCACGGCAAAATGATTATACCATTGCTTATTTTATTCTTTCCCCGCGCCTTTGTATTGCCAGCCTGAGTACTTATGAGATGGGGTACGCGTATCCATTTTAGCCGTGCCATTCCAAGAAATTTACAGTATAGTGTAAACGGAGCTTCAGTCCGTTTCTGTAATAAATAAAAACTGAACAAACAAAAACCGCTAAAGAGAGGACTGTAGCTACTTAATTGGGGGATGGGGTATATTCATATATTCGTCTTATGCCGACTGACTTCTTTTTTACGTTATTTTTCCTTCGATATGTAAACATGAATACATGAAAATACAGGGTGTCCCAAAACAGTGGCGAATCTAGTTTTTGAAAGTATTTGCTATCACCCATAACAATGTAATAGTTAGAGTTTGAATGCTTGAATATACATAATACTCACAAATGATCTTTTAAACTGCAAATAAACAGTATTTTACAAATTTATAAATATGCATAAAATATTCAAATTTAGATCTACAACTTAAGCCCTACGACCTTCAACATGTCCCTCCTCTCTGGCAAATTGTACATTTTTGTATTGAGCATTTTATGATTTTGCTTTAAATCCCCGCAGACAGAAATCCGTAGGTCATTCAAATTTTAACAGCAGGCGATTTCGAAAGTTTTGTGTGTTTTTTAGGACACCTTGTACAAGCACCTGTACAGCTTCGGCGCTGTATAAAGAGTTGAAAAAAATCTCAAAGGCTGTTAAAACTTACAATAGTCGTAAAATGATGACACTCTGAAAGGTAAAACGTAGCGTCGCTGCTCTCGTGTAGAGGTTCGTAAGCTATAGGAAGACAAAATATGAATTATTATATATAATTATGTGTATATATGTTTAAAAATTACACAACGGGTGTCCCAGAAGAAAGCAATCTGGTTTGATTCATAATAACTTCTAAACTAGCTGAAATAACTTTCATGATATATTTCAGTTGTATTTTATTTAAAAAATTTACGCAGAGATTAATGTTCAAAATCGGTTGCATATTTCGGTAGCACATATTCTAAATTATGCAAAAAGCGCAAAAAAACTGCTATTAGCAGTAAATAAATGCCACTTGTCAAATTGTTTATCATAAAACAAAGTATTATTATATACAGAAAACCAGCAAGATTCATTCCTTCAGAGGAAATCGCGGGTTCTGTTCAACTGTATCGACGAGTTGGTTACAGAAATTCAGCCATTCGTTGTACCGGATCACCTTCCATTAACATCTGCCGTGTAATCATAACATATGGATGGACTTTGATGCCAAATTTAACAATACGGTGAAATGAACTTTGATTTCGCGTTCAGAAATTGTGCATTCTCTACTAAACACACCAAAACTCTTTGATCTTTACTTAATCTTGGCATGTTCAGAATAAACTCAAAATAAAACCATAACTCCATAAGACACAACATGCAAATCCCAAGAGGCATCCAACATTTTTGAAATAAAACGTAACAATAGCGCTGATACTGTAATGTGTGATTGCAAAAAGGCTGTATTATTTTCTTCATTAAATAATAATAATTCGTTTCATAATAAACAATTTGTCAAGTGACATTTATTTACTGCTAATAATGTATGTTCCAGTTAAGAAAAGCTTGAATAATATTTCATACGGCGTTTTTTGCATAATTTAGACACATCCAGAAATGTGCTACCGATTTTGAACGTTAATATCTCCGCGAATTTTTAAATAAAACACAACTGCAATACATCAAAGTCTATGTTCATCTTCCCTCATCTAGTGAAAGTTATTTCAGTTTATTAATAGCTTAGCTAGTTTAGAAGTTATTATGAATCAAACCAAAGTACTTTCTTCTGGGGCACCCGGTATATATGAGCATATACACTGGCGGTCAAAAAAAACTGCACAAATGTTGCTATTATCGTATGTAACAAGAATCGTAACAATCAATCTTTTATTGTACACTAGCGGTCAAAAATAATTACTGTTTAGATACAAATTCATAAAGAAGAAGCGAATATAGGAGAGAGCTTCATAGGCATTTTGTATAATTCTCTTATTCCAAACAATATTTCAATAATGTAATGCAACCTGTCACACTTCCAAGATAGTCAAACAATGATTTCATGGGAAGAGGGAGTGGCTTGCACAGTCAAAATACCTTAACCCTATTGAAAATCTGTGGGACAATGTCAAGGGAAGAGTGCAAGAAAGGAATTAATTGATAAAGCGTCCATGATTTATGGGTTGCTGTAAAGACTGCCCATAGGATGAATTTCTTTTGATAGCCCAACATTACCACCTTAACAAAAATTATGCCACGCCGGTGTAAGGCCGTATTCAATTATTAGGCCAAAAGATGGTCAACAAAATATTAATATTTCATATAGCTTAGCATGTAATCAAGTCTATATTTACTCGTATATATTGTAAGAGGGACACATACGTTCATTTGAGAGCATTTTAACTTGTTTTAAGCAGTTCTTTTTGACCGCCAGTATATATATATATATATTAATATATATATATATATATATATATTATATATATATATATATAATATATATATTATATATTATAATATATATATATATTATAACAAAGGTTTATAATTGATATATATATATATATGTATATATATACGCAAATTTGGATCTGTGCGTAGTAAATCAGAGTGCTCAATACCAATACAATAGTAGAGCAAATAAATCAACAAATTACAATCTTAAAATTTTTTTTAAAATTTTATTTCGCTACACTGTGTTTCACGTACTTCTACCGTGTACGATCATCAGGCGATTACTAACACGCAATTAAGATGTAACGGTTATGCACACGCGTTTCTGATTGTTAACGCAAGCGCTTAAATGTACCAGCTTGCGCGCGCTTAACATAACAGGCCTTAAAGCCAAATCTATGTCGGCATCTACTGAATATTTCAGATCTTTTGTTCAACGACTCTTCTTTATTAGATAACATGATAAGCCTTTTTTCCTCAATACACAGCGGGCAAACATTCATTCCGGGGTTCGCCGAGGGAACTTGTTTCATTATCGACCATTTTATTTGGAATGGTTCGTGTTGCGCTTTAAGCTTCCAAATATATTTTGATAGTTCCGTTTCACCGGAGTAACATTCATGCTTGAATGATTTTAGATGGTTGCTGTATCTTAGTTTGAAGCTGCCTGCTGTCATACCAATGTAGTGCTTGATCTCTTTCCCATTGTTAGATCGGACTTCTGCTTTGTATACGATGCTTTTCGTTAGGCAATTGCCGTTTAATGGGCATTCGTCTTTAACTCGACAGTTACATGGTTTCAAGGTAGGTTGAGAGCTAGTATTTTGTTGCTTTAGAATTCTATGGTTGCTGCTTGATATTGACGATCTGACATTTTTCATACAGGAGTAACTCACTTTCACCGAGTTCCGATTGAAAATTTTATGAAGAGGGCACGATTTTGGAAAATGCTTATCAATCAGACGAAGAAACCTTCCCGCTACGTTTGTTTTTACGTTCTTACTATAGGGTGGGTTGTACCAAATAATGTTCCTTGAACGCGTTCTTCTTGTTGGTTTAGAATCATTAGTATTCTGCTCGTAACTCAATGTGGTGTTAAGACTACTGTGTCTCAGTGCATCTTCATAAATTGGTGCAGCCAAATCAAAACTGGATTTATCAGATGAAAGAGAGGATATTCGCTTGTTGATAGCTCTGGGGAGTTGTCTGATAATGGATGGTGGGTGATTGGATCGGCTGTCGATATAAACTGGATTGTTATTAGGTTTCCGATAGGGGGAGAACTTGTCTTCTTTTAGATTCAGGGTAATATCAAGGAAGTTCACTGACTGGTGACAAACTACACCAGGTTAGGTACTAGGTGAAACACAGTGTAGCGAAATAAAATTTTAAAAAAAATTTTAAGATTGTAATTTGTTGATTTATGTATATATATATATATATAATTATATATTAATATATATATATTAATATATATATATATATATTATGTAATGTTATACATTTATATATTTATATAATTATTTATATAACTATATATATGTATATAATTCAAAATTGTTTTTATTGAGCTTTCGACTCGGTAGTTCTATTCTTCAGAATATCTAAATTATTTACATGTGTCTGTAGTTTTATATATTTATATTTAGGTTTTGCGCTGTTCTTTAAGACTCTGTAACGTTGACAACGTCTGATTGGTTGTTTTGAAGTTGATCTGATATGAGTGGTAGTTGAGGGATCCGTTGTCATGGTTGACTGCATTTCGTTGTTGTGTATCAGATGCGGGTGGGTCAAGCTTTAAGTTATTATTATATTCATTTTAACTTATTATTGATAGAATCCTTACATTTTGTCTTAAGTTGCAGATAGACTGCAGGAATGTTGATTTGTCCGTTAATAGTATGGTCGTCTGAAACCAAGCTTCTTTGAATTCACGTGCGTGTTTTGTTTGTGCTCGTCCCAGTGGTTCAGTTTTTTATCCAGGCGAAGGTGTGAAAGTTGTCGTATGTGTGTACTGCGGGTAAGGATTTAAGGTCGTGTCGTTTTATAGCGTTCTTGTGTTCAGTTATGTATCTATACCTATGTATAGTTATGACCTATGTATCGTTGCATGTCGGGATAGTCTTTGCAAGGATTCAAGTAGATGGCATTTCTTGTTTCAGTGGTTGTCGTTTTGTCCTTGTGTTTTGTAAAATATCCCCTAAGTTTGTGCGCTTGTTTACGTGCTACGTCAATATTACAAGGTCGAAGTAGTCTGAATGTATGGTAAGGCAATTGTTTTACAGATCAACTTCAAAACAGCCAATCAGACGTATACAGAGTCTTTAAGAACAGCGCGAATCTTGAATAAATATATAAAGCTAGACACATGTAAATAATTTAGATATTTTGAAGAAGACTCGAAGTACCGAGTCGAAAGCTCAATTAAAAAAAAAATATTCTGGGGAACATTTGTATATTCATATATATATTATATACCACTTTTCAAAGTATGGTGTTAATTCGAAGTGTTTCATTGGTCGAGAGCGAATCATGCGAGAGTGACGAAATTTTGATGTCGCGGGAGATAACACGCTTTTTTTTCAAGGGAAATAACAACTTTAATCACGTGCGGCGCATATTTCAATTTTAAATTGTTGTTTGGTTCTTCTTTGACAAGTGATGTATAATAATTATAGAATAAAAAACTTATTAATATATACCTCAGAGACCTCAGAAAGCATTATGTTTTGTGGACTTTTTCACTATATGTGGACTTTTTCACGACGCTTTGGAAGTCCAAATGAATTTGAGCACGGAGCCCTACCTCCAGACATAGTACTCCACAAGGGCGCTGTGCTCAGCACGTCTTAAGCCTGGTTTTCACCACTCGCAGATAGACGGCAATGCTCGGCGATGCTGACTTGGTAGCAGTCGGCGAGTATCGCAGAAAGGCGGTTTTCATAAACGTAATCTGTCTTCGTGTATTTTGGACAAGAGGGCCCGACAAATTAGAACACTGGGTTCGAAATTAGGATGATTAGCATTTTACGATTGTCGGCAAAGTCCGTAAATGCGGTTTTCATAGTTTTATCAGTCGCAGCCTATCTGCGACAAACGCCGATCGTCGTAACAAAACAATTTTTTTCGTTTTGCTGCGATCGTCGGGGACATTCGCAGGTGCATTACGATAAGCGGTTTTCAACAATAACGATGCTTGGCATCTGTCGTAATTTTGATATCGGTGATGCTCGCCGACTATCTGCGAGTGATGAAAACCAGGCTTTATGAACCAGTTTTGACTTTGGGCACCAGTGCCGGGCACTCAGTCTGAATGCAGCCTAAAGCGCCTAGGTACGAAGCTGTCATTGACATTCGAAGCAAAAAGCACAAGAGCGATTACCATGAATATTTATAAGAATGTCGTAGTTGTACATACCTCAATGATTAACAGTTGAGTAAATTTAAAGTATTCTAGACTTTGTGGATTATCATAGGCAGGGATGTAGCGGTAATTTATAATGACAAATCGACCTTCGACAGAGGCTTGAATATCTAAGAGGAAGAGAAGACGCATGAAAGTTGTTATTTGACCGTTTAAGTGGGGTAGGACAGTCATGTATATTCAAAAATTGTTATTAAACAGTTACAAAGGTTATTATGGTAATGTTAAAATCACTGCGTTGCTGATTGGCCGAGAGGAGTACATTTATTTCATTAATTATAAATTCATTCATTATTATATTTTGTAATTATCGTACTATTAATCCCGAATTGTACTCGCCCTCGCATGCATGATTACCACCTATACAGCTATACTAATTGCACATTTCTAATAGTCTACAGGGTGTATCAAAAAAGTTCCCCCTATTAAAATGAAACTTTTATTCCAATTTGAATGCCTTGTTATTATGCCAGACTCGCAGGTGCTTAAAATGTAAAACAAGACGTTCAATTCGAATGCCTCAAGTTAATTACTATGCTTACCAGTGCATCAAATTATAATAATGCATTCAAATTCTAACAGAAGCCTTATTTCAATAGGGAGTACATTTTTTTATACACCCTGGGGCCGGATTGAATAATCACGTAGTTAACTTGCGTGGCGCTTGGGTGGGGTTGTTAAACACAGAAGAAGCATGAAGTATCTCGAAATCATTCACCGCTGTTATTGATTTGGAACAAGACTGTGGACTCGTATTTCCAAAAATCACAGTATTTTGATCTAAAATATTGGAAAAAATGCAACAAAACAAGGAAAAAAGTTCAAAATAATTCAACGAAAAAATAAAAAGGTTCCTTTGAGTCAAACTACCGGTTGCAGTTGAAAATATAGTCTGCTTGGACTGTGTGTTAAAAATTATGCTTTAAAAGACTGCGATAAAGCGTTACGATGATTTACGATGTACGATTTACCGAACAATAAACAAACATTTACCAAAAAATAAACAAACATTAATGACATATCGCTCTTACTATTTAGGTTAATAGAGTTACTAGTGCAACGCATGATTATGAACGATTTAAATAGGAATAAAAGCTCCACCGAACCGAAACGATATACTTGCACCAGGTACTAATAGGTTATTGATCGGCAACATCCCTTAGCCCCGTGCCCAGATATTTTAATTACACCATAGTATTCTGTCGCACAATATACAGAAACCAAAGTGGTTTAAATTCTAATTTTTTAGACAGTAGAGTTGGATGTTTTTGTTGATTAGGGGCATGCGCGAAATATGAGCAAGACTGGTAATCAGTAATAGCAAGATTGGCTAGGTTTGTATTACATTGAGAACACCGGTGTCCATATCTCGTTATAAGATACAGAAGCTATCGGCTTAAGAGGAAGTGCAGGCACATGCAGGTGGCCGAGGTTGCCAACGATGTTATGCTAAGTGTACGCCAAACCTACCAGTACATTCTTCATCAATAAGTTGCTGTCGTGGACTGGTACAATGGCAACGGTATGCTCCAGGGAAGTTGACACATTCTTGACCTTGACCTGAACATTTTCGCGATGCTCCAACACATTCGTTTATGTCTGCAAAGAAAGATATGGAAAATCCAATAGACCTTTTCGGTAATTACGTCACAACATTATCATTTAAATATGGAACCACCTTAATTAAATCAGATGGATTTCAAGTTTTACTCTGACAAGCCACGTGCAAAGATACAAAACTTTCTTCTTCAACACATGCACGAAAAAGAATTTTTCATTTTGACAAATAAGTATGGAAATAAGTCATAACTCGAAAACAAGGCTCGCGGTCTTATGGCTTATTTCCACATTTATTGGTGAAAATAAAAAAAAACTCATGCATGTGTTGAAGAGGAAGTTTTTGCATCTTTGCACGTGGCTCGTGAGAGTAAAACTTGAAATCCATTTCATTTAAGGTGGTTCTAAATCTAAAACGTTGTGACGTTAAAATGTTGGGCTGTAATTACCGAAAAGAACTATTAGCCTAATATTTTAAAAAAGCAGAATGCATCATCACTACAATTCTTGATAACAAAATGAAATATTTCCTACTAAGAGTTTGAGCAGCTTCAAAACAATCCTGGGCCCCAGTTGTTTAATAAAAACCGGTTAACGCTAACGCAGCTTGAGTTAAATTTAACCTATTTTGGAAACGTCCCCCTGCACATAAACTGAAGGCGTCCGATGGATTTTGATCCTAGGATTTTGGATCTTAGGATTTTTGATAAGAATGCAGTGAGTGCAATTAAGTCTATACTGAACAACCAAGGACGACGGTTGTAATTATATACATTCTCGTTTACATATCATAGGAACAATAGCATAGAAAATAAATCACTCGAGAATAGGTCGAATATATGAATATACATTGACCGCGCAATTAAGCTTCTAGTTACGGCTCTGTATTCAAGATGATCAACGAACGGGATAGTTGCAACCACTGGGGTTGCAAAGTTGTATTATCAAATGCATACCTTTACACAGAATTCCATTTCCTGTATAACCTTCATTGCAGGTACAAGTGAACGACCCATTGGTATTACTGCACGTTGCCTGACTGTGACAGGTGTGATTCCCAAGTCTGCATTCATCAACATCTTCAAAGGTAATAATGATTGAATATTTAACGAGGGAGCTGGTTTTCTTTAATGATTAACTGTTAACGGGTTATTAATAATCTTGCTGAGCAGTTTATAATTATTATAGTTATAGGTGTGCCAAAGCAACAGTGTTGTTAGTGTTGTTCGCATTTCGATTCCAGAAATTTCGATTTTAAATTTAGACCAAAACTATAACAAAATAGTAATGCAAAGCCCATACCTTTGCATGTAGTACCATTTCCTGTATAACCGTCCTTGCAGGTACAAATGAACGAACCGGTGGTATTACTGCACCTTGCCTTCCTGTGGCAATTGTGAGTCCCAAGTGCGCATTCGTTAACATCTTGAAAAGTAACATAATTGAAGATTAAACGACAACACTGTTTAATAACTCGATGTGCATATTATGTTCATAATTTTAGCAGTGACAAATTTCACTGTCGTAAATATTAGTGTTGCTTTGAAAATCTCATCAGTGACAATTAATTATGAGTTCAAAGTTTGCATTCGTCAACATCTTCTAAAGTAACAAAGATTGAATATTTAATGCGCGTTCATACAGTAACGTTTAAATAGACTGTAGAAGTTATAATCCCTCTTTTTATAAAATAAAAATGTATTTTATGAAAAACAAAAATAGTAATGGAAAGCACATACCTTCGCACGTGGTTCCGTTTCCTGTATACCCTTCATTGCAGGTACAAGTGAACGACCCATTGGTGTTTTTACACGTTGCTTGATTGTCACAGTTGTCAGTGTCACGTGCGCACTCATCAACATCTTTAAAGGTAATAAATCATGAATATTTGGCGGGAATAAAATTGAATATTTAACGAAGGAGCTGGTTTTCTTTAATGATTAACTGTTAACGGGTTATTAATAATCTTGCTGAGCAGTTTATAATTTTTATAGTCATAAGTGTTCCAAAGCAGCAGTGTTGTTAGTGTTATTCGCATTTCGATTCCAGAGATTTAGATTTTAAATTTAGACCAAAACTATAACAAAATAGTAATGCAAAGCACATACCTTCGCATGTAGTACCATTTCCTGTATAACCGTCCTTGCAGGTACAAATGAACGAACCGGTGGTATTACTGCACCTTGCCTTCCTGTGGCAATTGTGAGTCCCAAGTGCGCATTCGTTAACATCTTGAAAAGTAACATAATTGAAGATTAAACGACAACACTGTTTAATAACTCGATGTGCATATTATGTTCATAATTTTAGCAGTGACAAATTTCACTGTCGTAAATATTAGTGTTGCTTTGAAAATCTCATCAGTGACAATTAATTATGAGTTCAAAGTTTGCATTCGTCAACATCTTCTAAAGTAACAAAGATTGAATATTTAATGCGCGTTCATACAGTAACGTTTAAATAGACTGTAGAAGTTATAATCCCTCTTTTTATAAAATAAAAATGTATTTTATGAAAAACAAAAATAGTAATGGAAAGCACATACCTTCGCACGTGGTTCCGTTTCCTGTATACCCTTCATTGCAGGTACAAGTGAACGACCCATTGGTGTTTTTACACGTTGCTTGATTGTCACAGTTGTCAGTGTCACGTGCGCACTCATCAACATCTTTAAAGGTAATAAATCATGAATATTTGGCGGGAATAAAATTGAATATTTAACGAAGGAGCTTGTTTTCTTTAATGATTAACTGTTAACGGGTTATTAATAATCTTGCTGAGCAGTTTATAATTTTTATAGTCATAAGTGTTCCAAAGCAGCAGTGTTGTTAGTGTTATTCGCATTTCGATTCCAGAGATTTAGATTTTAAATTTAGACCAAAACTATAACAAAATAGTAATGCAAAGCACATACCTTCGCATGTAGTACCATTTCCTGTATAACCGTCATTACAGGTACAAATGAACGAACCGATGGTATTACGGCACGTTGCCTTACTGTCGCAATTATGAGTCCGAAGGGTGCATTCGTCAACATCTTGAAAGGTAACATAATTAAAGATTAAATGACCGACACTGTTCAATAACTCGATGTGCATATTATGTTCATAATAATATACATGAAAATATTTCTTGACTGTGATTGGTCGATTTCAGTGCAATTAATCCGAACAGCAGTGCAAAAATCTGTAACAACAGTGCAAAAATCTGTAACAACAGTGCAAAAATTTGTAACAGACCAATCTGATTGGCTGTCATAAATATATCAGCCAATCAAATTTGAGCTACGTTTTGGCGGGAAATATATGCTTGCCCCAAACAAAACAAACCAAGATGGCAACGGAAATCAAGCACGGAAATTTGGATTTTCGCGACTTTTTAACGTTAAAACAATGGTTTCACAACAAAATATTTAAGAAATAATTATAACGTCGCTAAAGGAAATATTCAATATAAGGGAAAGATCGATCAACAAAATGTACATGGGGACAAGAAATACAAGAAATACTCGTGTACTAAGTGTGTTTGTCTCGAACATTTTCATGTATATTATTAACAAGTAATAGTATGGTTTCTCGTGCAATTTGGAAAAAAGAATACACTCGTGAGTTTTCCAAAGCCCTAAAATAGCACTCGTCCTTCGGACTCGTGCTATTTTGAGTCTTTGAAAAACTCACTCGTGCATGTTTTTTCCAACTTGCACTCGAAACCATACTATTACCTATACTAATTATAGCAGTGTCAAATTTCACTGTCATAATTATTAGTGTTGCTTTGAAAATCTCATCAGTGGCGATTAATTATGAGTTAAAAGTTTGCATTCGTCAGCATTTTCTAAGGTTACAAAGATTGAATATTTAATGCACCCTCATAATTATAGTAACGTCCAAATAGACTGTAGAAGTTATAATCCCTCTTTTTATGAAATAAAAATGTATTTTATGACAAACCAAACAGTAATGGAAAGCACATACCTTCGCACGCAGTTCCGTTTCCTGTATACCCTTCATTGCAGAGACAAGTGAACGACCCATTGGTGTTTTTACACGTTGCTTGATTGTCACAGTTGTCCTTCCCAAGTGCGCATTCATCAACATCTTTAAAGGTAATAAATCATGAATATTTGGCGAAGAAGACGGGCAGTTTCAATGAATGCGCACATTCGGTTCAGAGTATTATTTTCGAGCTGCGATTACTAATTGGAGAGCGAATGAAAAATATTGGAGAAATAAGAAGGACTGAAGAAATATTCCAGAATATATTATATCATAAAATCATCTATAGAATTTCATTCGTAATTTGCATCGCATGAAGTAGCGCACGCATCCATATTTATGTAGCAAACAGGAAACACTTATGTATAAGCTATATACCATGCAGGTTGGTAAGTCTCGATTTCGCTCCATGCAAACAACATTTTTGGAAAAAATTCTTTAAAACCAATTAAATACCTTTCCAAAAACAACTTAGAATGGACACGATTTGCCCTTGATAATTCAAGAATACTTTTTTACGGTTCATTGCCATTTTATGTCTTTTAACATAAGCACAATAATGCATTTCCTTTAAATTTAGGATTTTAGCAATAGATTTTTACTTTGTCGCAAATCTGCATTATAAACAATAAAAATGCACAATTTTGAGACAAATAGATATCAAACGTGTTTATGCTTACCAATACAGCTTGTGTTGTTTTTTTCATATCCAGAAAGACAAATACATTCATAACTTGTGTTTGTGTTCCTACATAACGCGTTGTTACCACAATCAGGAGTATGGATACTATTCTGTGGATTGCATTCGTCATAATCTGGGAGGAAAAATCCCATTTAAAGAAGAAAATGGCGGAAAGTTTTTTGAAAACAAACTAAACATCCCTGGAGAAAATAAAAAAGCCAGAAAGGTAAACAAAAAATCGCAACAAAGCTACCAAAGTTGTACGATTTTCTTATGACAGTAATAAACAAGTAATGTTGCTCGTACAATTGCGGATTAACTCTCCCCGACGACTAGTCCTATTTTTGCAAAATTTTTAAATATCACTCGTATTTTAATCCCGCGAATTGTAGTCGCCATCACACGCTCGTACTAATTAATAATAGTAAAAAACCTTAATGAAAAACTATTTTGCGCCTAATCCATAATTTGTCTGCTTATTTTTTGCTTAGCAAGCGCAAGCTTAATTCACAATGGCTTGGCGGCGAGTATTGTAAATAAATATTGGCCGATATTCTTAAGATAAGCTATTTTCTCTGCCTGGACACCAAGTTGAGCAAATAATGAGCGGAATCCCTTCACCAGTGTAAAACTTTTACATGCACGCATGTGCTTATTCTGTTGTGAATATAACATGTCCCTTTTGGTCATGGTTTTTAAACTAGGAATCCATGCATATAGATAGTGCAACGTTCTAATACCTGAGCAACGTGTCGTCTGGCCCATAATAACAGAATCAGGGTTTTAACTTCTGCCAGTAAAAATCTAAAGAACCCCGTTTAACAAAAACTGACCTGATGGCTGATTTAAGCAGAAAGTTCATTTTCAATAATTCGATTGCTCTTAAAATTATCGTGAAACTTGAACGCTTCATTTACCAGGCTAGATTACAATTGTAATTTCACATAATTTCGTTGGTTGTAAAGTGCCAAAGATACCAATGAGATGGTATTTAGATGCCTGTATGTACCTGGACTGTGAAAATTTACTCTTAAAGTGTTCGCTTGGAAAAATCACAATCACTGAATCCAAGACAATCAAATGTACGTTAGGCGCAATGTTGTCATTATTCAATTGTATTTTAGTTGCTCATGCAAAGTGGCCGTTCCACTCACCACAACACTAAAACAATATAAGCAGGGACCCTGGAACGATGCGAGGTGGCAAAGGGGACGGATTTTGGTAAAAAAAGCACTCCTGTAGCAATACATAATAAACGAAATATAGAATGTTTGCAAAGCATTGTTTGACCCATTGAACCTCGTGTCATTATGTTTAGACGATTGTGATATTCTTCATACTCGTTCGTGAAACTTCTACTTAAGCTTGAAGCTCTGTTCACACGATCCAATTTTGTTGGATCCAATTTACTTCTGATAGTCGTTTAATAGTTTGTTCAGTTGACTTGCAGTGAATATGGGCAGCAAATACACTGAAGCCAATTCAGTATTGCTTCATCGATAATAGGCTACATCCCATACGTCAAAAGTGAATTGGATCGAACAAAATTGGGTCGTGTGAGGGCACCTTAGCCCCAATTGCCGGGCTGGTAAGGGGGGAGGGAAACTCAGTTGCCTTTGCAAATTTCTTTTTGAATTTACATCAGCCATATGAAATTATGTATCATGTTCATCTTACTAATTGCTTCAACCTTATTACATCATTCTATAGAAACGCAATATCTTGTAATTTAAAACCATATTAGAAAGATTATATTATGACATTCTCGAGTTTTTTTCTTAACTTGAGCCTGCCTGACTGCCGCCCGCTATTAATCTTAATACTTTTACATGCACAAACGCCTCTGCGGACGAGGGTAGTTGTTTGTTACTGGAAAGTCTTTTAAGACAATAAAAATTCTGCTATTGAACGAGCTGGTGTGTCACTCGGCAACCCATTTAGCAATGCTTTTTATATGTTAGCGAAAATATTGGATAAACGTTAATATAATTATTTGGAAGTTAAATACCTTTCACACTAAATTGGTCTTTCACTTCAGTGAGATTTGTGCTCTTGCTGATTTGGAAATCTGCTCCAAGAAATGTGCCGTTTTGCGTTACATTCATTGACTCGACTAACTCTTCTTGAATATTTTCATTGTTTATTCCAGCGGAATCATTGAATGTTGCAACGTAATCAAAACCAAGAGATCCTTGGCTGAAATCGTAAAAAAGAGAAATTAGACTTTACTAGATATATAATGCCAGATTCGTGTCTTAACGTTTACCGCCAGAAACTTTGTTCCTTACAAATGATACTTTGAAACTCGTGATCTTTTCGCCATTTGCGAAAGTATATTTTGGCGTTGCAAACCTATATAGCTGACCTGACGATTTAGTTATACTATAAAAATTTTATCTTATTATATCATTATTCATTTTTTTAGATATTCATTAATTGCTTTCACAGTCAATCATCACCAAAATATCTTCGATTGATATACGGTGTCTCAAAACAGTGACGGATCAAGGGCAAGTCAGAATAATGGTGGATTTCTACTTATAGAGGAAATCCGTTCAAAAAACAGTCTCAAAAAAACTCAAAATTGAAATCACAAAATGTAATAGTTAGAGTTTGAATACCTACCCACAAAATTAATGACCTTTAATAACCACATAATTATAATTATACAATATTATACAATATACATCAAATTTTAACAGCAGCCCGGTGATTTCAAAATTTTGTGTTTTTTTTGTGACACCTTTACACCTTCTAGCTACGGCCGTGAACAAAGAGTTGAGGAAAATTTCAAAGGCTGTTAAAACTTACAATAGTCGTAAAATGATGATTGACTGAAAGGTAAAACGTAGCCTCGGTGTTCTCGTGTAGAGGTTCGTAAGCTATAGAAAGACAAAATATAAACTATTATAGATAATTATGCATATACTAATTATATGTTTGTATTCTTGCATTCTTATGCACATATTAATAACATTCTTGATATTTTGCATGGGTAATCAATACATATGATGAATCATCAATTTGCTTTCGGTCGGTTACCCCGGGGCTTATGTAGTTCAATGGTGAATATTGCACTGACACGGGCCCGGGTAAAAGATCGAAAGCTCTGCTTATATGGTGTTGTTCACAAATTGACGATTTTAGTAAAAAAAACTTTTTAGTATTTTTTTTAAAAAAGGAAGTCTCTCATATGTAGCTATTAAACATAATATTTCGTTGTTCATGCATGACGTCGGTTCTTCTATCGCTGAAGATTTTAACATCCTTTACAGGAAATTTTAATTGGTATAAACGCGTTGCGAGGACCAAACTTATAGGTATACCTCCAACACTGTAAACCTTATAATCGATTACTTACAATCGTGGTTTAAATATTGTGTTATTTCGAAAAAGTAAGGCTAATGATCCGAATTCAGAACACTTGAAGTGTTCGACATGAAGTGTTCAGACGCAATTTCCATTGACCAAATTTATCTCAATTCCTTATTGAAACTGAAAATGTATATGAGTGTTGATGAATGGAATAAAAAAACAAAAATATCGAAGCAAAAAACACATGAGCGATTCATGAATATTTATGAGAATGTCGTAGTTGTACATACCTCAATGATTAACACTTGAGTAATTTTAAAGTACTCTAAACTTTGTGGATCATTATAGGCAGGGATGTAGACGCGATTTATAATCACAAATTGACCTTCGACAGAGGCCTGAATATCTAAGTAGAAAAGAGGACGCATGAGAGTTGTTGTTTGATCGTTCAAGTGGGGTAGGACAGTCATGTACTGTAAAATTTTAATTGTATAATGTTATTAATGTAATGTTAAAATTACGGCGTGCTAATTGGCCGATTTATTTCAGTAATGATACATTTCGTTGATTATTACATTTTGTAATCATCGGCAAATACTGTATTATCATTGGCTAAGAGAAGTGGGATTCGAGCGGCTCGTCCAACTTTGGTAAAATTTTCAAACATTACTCCTACTATTAATCCCGAATTGCACTCGCGGTGGCATGATTTTAATTGCACATTTTGCAATGTGTAATTAGACTCTTGCCAATAAAAGATATATTATATTTAATAAAAAACATTGCAGTATTATATACAACTAGCCAATCGGCATTCAGGATACAAAGTAAGAAAAACAAAATGAAAAAATGGCGCGTTATTTTCACAAAAAAACTAAACAGTCCTGTAGTTCATAAGAGAGGCGAAAATATTAGAGAAAGTAGAAAATGTTGGATAAAAATCGACCGAAATGATATACCTACATCAGGTAGTAATAAGTTATACAGGTATTGTAAAATTAACGTTTTGTTTTCCAATATAAGATCGTTTCGTTGCCATAATGTATCTATATACACTTTGATCGGCAACATCCCTTAAGGCGGACTTCTATTCAGTGCAAAATGTCGCGTGATACACAATTCAGCTCAATTTTCAATCCTGATACACAAAGCACGCGAAATTTAAAACAAAAATTCAAAATGGCTGCCATTACAGACGGATTGTATTCATTGAACTGCAGGTAAACTGGAACGCTATTATGAGCTGAAATACTTGACGCCAGATGTTGGGCTGGGTGTAAAATTAAAGCTATTGAAAAGTTATATTTCGAAATTTAAAGATTTAAACTACAAAGGAAATATTAAAAAAAAACAATTACCAACCGCCAAAAATCGAGAAATTTTTAAATATTTTTTAGATAATTATTTCCCTTTAAGATTACCTCTCGAAATTTCTACACGAAATATAACTTTTTAATAGCTTTAATTTCGTATACGGCTAAAGGTTTGGCGTTAAGTATTTCATCTCATAACTCAGATTATTCGTATTCGCTTGATTTCAATATCAAAAAGCTGAAGATAAATTATCTTCAATGAACGTGGAATATTTTCAAGCGGTCCAGACATTTCTGACGCTTGTAAACTGAAAGGATCAGAAAATTTGCGATCGATCTTTCAGGTCAAGCTTAACTTTGTGGAAATCAAACATTGGTTGAAAGCTTCATTTTTATAGGGCTGACTTTGCAAACAACAACAAATTTGCCTTTTGGTAGTTCGTTGCTGTTAACCCTGTGTTTAGGAAAAAGTTTCTCAAGTTATACACATTCAAGGTTACATCTGTTATCGTCGTGAAATCCATTGTTTGGCTTGTAATATTTATTGTTTAGAATGTTTTGCTTGTCCGAACTTTTTCCCGCACTGCAAATTAGCCAATCAAATCTTTCCACGCAAAACCAACGCGCCGCGTGTGGAAAGGTCTATTAGAAAAGCGATCGCAAAAAGTCGATCGCGTGACATTTTGTACCCAATGGAAATACTCCTTTAACCACGTGACGGAACGCGAGGTACTAATTCTGCCCAGATATTTTAACTACACCCGGGTATTGTGTCGCACAATATACAGAACCAAAAGTTGTTTAAATTCTAATTTTATGAACAGTGTATGGTTGACTTTAGAGGGTCTAGTTGGTCGTTTTTGTTGATTAGGCGCATGCGCGAAATATGAACCAGACTGGTAATCAATCACACCCATATTGGTTATTTTTGTATTACATTCAAAGCACCGGTGTCCATATCCCGTTATAAGGTAATGAGGAATTGCAGGCACATGGAAGTGGCCGAGGTTGCCAACGATGTTATGCTTCATGTACGCGAGACCTACCAGTACATTCTCCATCAATAATTTGCTGTCTTGGACTAATACAATTACAACGGTATGCTCCAGGAAAGTTGAAACATTCTTGACCTTGACCTGAACATTTTCGCGGTGCTGCAACACATTCGTTTATGTCTGCAAAGAAAGATATCGAAAATCCAATAGACCTTTTCGTAATTACGTCACAACATTATCGTTTTAAATTTAGAACCACCTTAATTAAATCAGATGGATTTAAATACTCTCACGAGTCAGGTGCAAAGATACAAAACATTCTTCCTCAACACATGCACGAAAAAGAATTTGAAAGGTTTAACCAGATCATGACATCAAAATCGTTTTGGATAATTTCATGCATGATTTAGTTGTGAAGCAAACACTATATATGCGAAAAAAGAAACAAGCAATTTATTCTTAAAGTGATGAGGTTTGCCTGAAAAATGCTTTACTTTCAAATCGACAAACTAATGCGGCATTTTCAAGAGTATACAATGCAAGACTAGACTGTGCAAAGGCGTGGTCATAACTATGGTTCCTGATAAATAAAAGTTACATGAAGCTTTTAATACCCGGTAAATTCAAGCGTATTTATTAAAAGCGTATTTATAGCCGGTGGATTAATGCTCCGTAAATTGAAGACGGTGCCACCAGGATTCACAAATGATCAGCAGCCAACGCGAGCAATGGTCGCAGTAGCATTAGCAAAGTTGCAATGAAAAATACCTTCGCATGTAGCTCCATTTCCTGTATAACCTTCATTGCAGGTACAAGTGAACCAACCAATGGTGTTTTTACACGTTGCTTGGCTGTGACAATTATGCGTTCTAAGTATGCATTCGTCCACATCTTCAAAGGTAATAAATCATGAATATTAACATTCGAGTTGTTTTTTTATTGTATTTTCATATACTAAAGTCCAATTAGACTGTTTATCTATAATTGTCACTTTATGAAGTATGAATGCCTTTTATGATTAACTATTAATGGTTATTATATTGCTGAGCAGTTATAGTATAATTATAGGTGTGCCAAAGACAGTTTTGCATGCCTGTTAGTCGTCTTGATGGGTTTATTAGCCTTTAAAGACCTGGGGTCAACTCGGTTAAACAAAAGAAAATTGATTTGCAATTCCCTATTTGAGGTCTTGTCCAGTAACTTTAAAGGTTCATAAATCCATCAAGATTTTTCTATAACAAAACGTATTGTATCTTTTTTATAATGCCTTAAACGTTTTACATATTCAAAATCCACAAAATGTTATAGACACTTTAAGCGATCGAGTTGGTTTTCTTTAAATAATAACGTCCAATTAGATATAAGTCATTATTGTCACTTTCAGTGAAGTATAAATGTCGTTTATGATTAACTGTGAACATTTTAAGCGGAAATAAATAAGGAATAATTATCAGGAAATATTGTTGCAAATAAATTATCTGAAATAAATGTTGATGACTTGATAAATATAATGTAAATTTGTTGGCAAACTGCGTTTAGACAATAGATGAGCAACGAACGGGTGCAATTGTTGTGGGAGCGGTTGCAAAGTTGTATTGTTAATTGCATACCTTCACACATGGTTCCATTTCCTGTATAACCTTCATTGCAGGTACAATTGAACGACCCAGTGGTATTACTGCACGTTGCCTGACTGTGACAATTATGAGCCCCAACTGTGCATTCGTCAACATCTTGAAAGGCAATAAAGATTGAATATTAAACGACCGAGTTGGTTTTCCTTAATGCACGTGCGTTCATATAATAACGTCCAGTTAGACATTATAATTAATTTATAATTGTCACTTTATGAAGTATAAATGCTTTTTATGATTAACTATTAATGGTTATTATCTTGCTGAGCAGTTTATAGTATAATTATAGGTGTGCCAAAGACAGTCTTGCATGCCTGTTCGTGGTCTCGTCCGATTCCAGAATTTTAGATTTTAAATTTAGAGCAAAATTATGACGAAATTTTAATGAAAACTACGTACCTTTGCACGTGGTTCCATCTCCTGTAAAACCTTCATGGCAGGTACAATTGAACGAGCCAGCGGTGTTTTTACACGTTGCTTGGCTGTGACAATTATGCGTATTAAGTGTGCATTCGTCCACATCTTCAAAGGTAATAAATCATGAATATTAAACATAGTACGAGTTGATTTTCTTTAATGAATGTTATATAATAACGTCCATTTAGACTGTAGTTATAATTGTTACTTTTAATGAAGTATAAATGCCTCTTATGATTAACTTTTAACATCTAAACGTAAATAGACAATGAATAATCTATGCAAAAACCTCGGTCTAAAATTTCACAGCACAGATTGAACAAGCGAGCTCAATAATCTGTTTATTATACGGCTGAACTGGTCCTGGTACGGAATATACGGACCACGGTCCGGATATGGGTTTTACGGAACGCTCGTCAACCAATCAGAATGGACGATTTTTAACAGCCAAATAATAAATTATGAATATTAAACTGCCCATACCATTGTTGTAGATTTTGAATACATCAAAAGTTCAAGTTATTTCAAAAAACATTGCAATACATTTTGTTTTAATTGAAAAAAATTGTCTTGATGGATTTATTAAAGTGCCTATATCACTTGTGCATGGGATCTTTACGGATTTGAATAGAGCTTGAAAAATTCGTTTATAAGTTCTACAACCCTTTTTAATATAATTAAATAGTTTCGGAAATATTCTTATCTAAACATGACGATTTGCCTAAATTTCCGTCGTAGTCTGGGGCCTGGGACTCAGGAACCGAGTTCTTGTCAAAAATAATATAATCAATTATAATTTTACTTTGATCTTCCAATAGCGTAAATATTTTGGGAAAAACTCGCCCAGTTGCTACAGCCATACACAACGCACCGTTCTCGCATTTTTTTCTTGAAAAGCGCAAACTATATCGCCAGTGAAACTCTTCATGTTGACATTATAAAAGACGGCGTGTTTGCAAATCATTTCTGAGTCCCAGTCCCCCCAACCGACATATTCTCGAAACTATTTAATTATATCAAAAAGGGTGGTAGAACTTATAAAGTAATTTTTAAAGCTCTATACAATTCCGTAAAGATCCCGCAAGTGATATAGGCACTTTAACCCTTACATTTGCCGGATGTGGGTTCAAATCGATGAAACAAAAGAAAACTGATTTGCAATTCCTGATTTGAGGTCATGTCCGGTTAACTTTTACGGCTAATAAATCCATCAAGATTTTTCTATGACAAAATGTATTGTATTTTTTTATAATGCCTTAAAATATTTATATATTCAAAATCCACAACATGCATGGTATATGCACTTTAAGCAATCAAAGTTGTTTTTTTTTTAAATAGTAACGTCCAATTAGACTGTATATATAAGTCATTATTGTCACTTTCAGTGAAGTATAAATGTCTTTTATGATTAACTGTTATCATAAATACAGTAAATGTTGACGACTTGCATACATATAATTTAAATTTGTTGGCAAACCGCGTTTAGACAATAGATGAGCAACGAACGGGTGCAATTGCATGTTGTGGGAGCGGTTGCAAAGTTGTATTGTTAATTGCATACCTTCACACATGGTTCCATTTCCTGAATAACCTTCATTGCAGGTACAATTGAACGACCCAGTGGTATTACTGCACGTTGCCTGACTGTGACAATTATGAGCTCCAACTGTGCATTCGTTAATATCTTCAAAGGCAATAAAGATTGAATATTAAACGACTGAGTTGGTTTACCTTAATGCACGTGCGTTCATATAATAACGTCCAGTTAGACATTATAATTAATTTATAATTGTCACTTTATGAAGTATAAATGCTTTTTATGATTAACTATCAATGGTTATTATCTTGCTGAGCAGTTTATAGTATAATTATAGGTGTGCCAAAGACAGTCTTGCATGCCTGTTCGTGGTCTCGTCCGATTCCAGAATTTTAGATTTTAAATTTAGAGCAAAATTATGACGAAATTTTAATGAAAACTACGTACCTTTGCACGTGGTTCCATCTCCTGTAAAACCTTCATGGCAGGTACAATTGAACGAGCCAGCGGTGTTTTTACACGTTGCTTGGCTGTGACAATTATGCGTATTAAGTGTGCATTCGTCCACATCTTCAAAGGTAATAAATCATGAATATTAAACATAGTACGAGTTGATTTTCTTTAATGAATGTTTATATAATAACGTCCATTTAGACTGTAGTTATAATTGTTACTTTTAATGAAGTATAAATGCCTCTTATGATTAACTTTTAACATCTTAAACGTAAATAGACAATGAATAATCTATGCAAAAACCTCGGTCTAAAATTTCACAGCACAGATTGAACAAGCGAGCTCAATAATCTGTTTATTATACGGCTGAACTGGTCCTGGTACGGAATATACGGACCACGGTCCGGATATGGGTTTTACGGAACGCTCGTCAACCAATCAGAATGGACGATTTTTAACAGCCAAATAATAAATTATGAATATTAAACTGCCCATACCATTGTTGTAGATTTTGAATACATCAAAAGTTCAAGTTATTTCAAAAAACATTGCAATACATTTTGTTTTAATTGAAAAAAATTGTCTTGATGGATTTATTAAAGTGCCTATATCACTTGTGCATGGGATCTTTACGGATTTGAATAGAGCTTGAAAAATTCGTTTATAAGTTCTACAACCCTTTTTAATATAATTAAATAGTTTCGGAAATATTCTTATCTAAACATGACGATTTGCCTAAATTTCCGTCGTAGTCTGGGGCCTGGGACTCAGGAACCGAGTTCTTGTCAAAAATAATATAATCAATTATAATTTTACTTTGATCTTCCAATAGCGTAAATATTTTGGGAAAAACTCGCCCAGTTGCTACAGCCATACACAACGCACCGTTCTCGCATTTTTTTCTTGAAAAGCGCAAACTATATCGCCAGTGAAACTCTTCATGTTGACATTATAAAAGACGGCGTGTTTGCAAATCATTTCTGAGTCCCAGTCCCCCCAACCGACATATTCTCGAAACTATTTAATTATATCAAAAAGGGTGGTAGAACTTATAAAGTAATTTTTAAAGCTCTATACAATTCCGTAAAGATCCCGCAAGTGATATAGGCACTTTAACCCTTACATTTGCCGGATGTGGGTTCAAATCGATGAAACAAAAGAAAACTGATTTGCAATTCCTGATTTGAGGTCATGTCCGGTTAACTTTTACGGCTAATAAATCCATCAAGATTTTTCTATGACAAAATGTATTGTATTTTTTTTATAATGCCTTAAACTATTTATATATTGAAAATCCACAACATGCATGGTATATGCACTTTAAGCAATCAAAGTTGTTTTTTTTAAATAGTAACGTCCAATTAGACTGTATAAGTCGTTATTGTCACTTTCAGTGAAGTATAAATGTCTTTTATGATTAACTGTTAATATTTTAAACGGAAATACAGTAAATGTTGACGACTTGCACACATATAATTTAAATTTGTTGGCAAACCGCGTTTAGACAATAGATGAGCAACGAACGGGTGCAATTGCATGTTGTGGGAGCGGTTGCAAAGTTGTATTGTTAATTGCATACCTTCACACATGGTTCCATTTCCTTTATAACCTTTATTGCAGGTACAATTGAACGACCCAGTGGTATTACTGCAAGTTGCCTGACTGTGACAATTATGAGTCCCAAGTGTGCATTCGTCAACATCTTCAACGGCAATAAAGATTGAATATTAAACGACCGAGTTAGTTTACCTTAATTCACGTGCGTTCATATAATAACGTCCAATTAGACATTATAATTAATTTATAATTGTAACTTTTTGAAGTATAAATGCTTTTTATGATTAACTATTAATGGTTATTATCTTGCTGAGCAGTTTTTGTATAATTATAGGTGTGCCAAAGACAGTGTTGCAAACCTGTTAGTGGTCTCGGCCGATTCCAGAATTTTAGATTTTGAATTTAGAGAAAAATTATGACGAAATTGTAATGCAAACTACGTACCTTTGCACGTGGTTCCATCTCCTGTATAACCTTCATTACAGGTACAATTGAACGAACCAGCGGTGTTTTTACACGTTGCTTGGCTGTGACAATTATGCGTTTTAAGTGTGCATTCGTCCACATCTTCAAAGGTAATAAATCATGAATATTAAACAACCGAGTTGGTTTTCTTGAATGCATGTTTATATAATAACGTCCAATTAGGCTGTAGTTATAAATGTTACTTTTAGAGAAGTATAAATGCCTCTCACGATTAAGTTTCAACATCTTAAACGTAAATAGTCAATGAATATTCTATGCAAAAACCTCGGTCTGAACTTTGACAGCACACATTGAACAAGCGAGCTCAATAATCTGTTTATTATATGGCTGAACTAGTCCTGGTACGGAATATACGGACCACGGTCCGGATATGGGTTTTACGGAACGCTCGTCAACCAATCAGAATGGATGATTTTTAACAGCCAAATAATAAATTATGAATATTAAATTGCCCATACCATTGTTGTAGATTTTGAATACATCAAAAGTTCAAATTATTTTAAAAAACTTTGCAATACATTTTGTTATTTTTGAAAAATTTTGTCTTGATGGATTTATTGGCCGGGTGAAACAATGCAAAAGAAAACTGATTTGGAAACCCCGATTTGAGGTCATATCCTGTTAACTTTTACGGCTAATAAATCCATCAAGATTTTTCTATAACAAAATATATTGTATTTTTTTTTATAATTCCTTAAACTATTTATATATTCAAAATCCACAACATGGTATATGCACTTTAGGCGATCAAAGTTGGTTTTCTTTAAACAAGTACGATCGTACTATAGGGACCAGGAACTGCGTAACCGAGTTTAATTTCTGAACTGCATCGTATTTATAACAATGGAGAGGACAATGTATTTCTAATCGTTTCCGTTTACTTATACAGGGTGTCCCAAAAAAACGAAAACTATTGAAATCACTCATTGTTAAAATTTGAATGCCGTGTGCACGAATTTTAGCCGATGGGGATTTAATGCAACTCAGTAAAATGCTAAATGCTTTGTCTTGCTAGAGAAAGGGGACATATCGAAGGTCATGGTGATTGAGATGCACATTTCAGTATTGTTGATAAATATCATTTTTGCGTACGAGCAAATTTTACTGCATCATATGCATGCATAAAAATGCTTATGGAAAACATTTACACACTTGTGGGTCCCAACAGAGTGCTTAGGCATTCAAACTCTAACAATTACATTGTTTTAGGGGATTTCAATAGTTTTCGGTTTTTTGGGGACACCCTGTACAGGGTGTCCCAAAAAAAGTCCCCTCTATTGAAATCAAGCCTTTGTTAGAATCTGATTGCCTTAATATTATGATAAACCCAATTGAAAGCAAAACGCTTTATTTGAATGCCTCAACCTAATAACTATGCTATTTACACCCTATTGCGTTGATCATGCATTCAAATTCCAACAAAAGCTTCATTTCAATAGCGGGGACTTTTTTTTGGGACACCCTGTATATAGGCTGAATATTAATGATATGTATATATTATTTGCTGCAAATATATCAAGAATTGCTTGTAACTTGCTTCAAAGGTCAAAAGTAAAAATTCGAACTCCGTCAATCGATGCGGAATAATGCTTAGAATAATGCTTAGAATAATTGTGCCAAGTTTCATTCCGATCAAACAAGTAATGAAAGAGCCTTAGGGTTTTTTTAAAGAGCGTCGCCCCCTAACAACAACAACAACAACAACAACAACAACAACAACAACAACAACAACAACAACAACAACAACAACAACAACAACAACAACAACAACAACAAAAACAACAACAACAACAACAACAACAACAACAAGATTAGCAGCGGTTAGGGACCAGTTTCTGGTCCAATAATAACGTCCAATTAGACTGTATAAGTCATTATTGTCACTTTCAGTGAAGTATAAATGTCTTTTATGATTAACTGTTAATATTTTAAACGCAAATAAATGTTGACTACTTTCATATACATATAATGTAAATTTGTTGGCAAACAGCGTTTAGACAAAAGATGAGCAACGAACGGGTCCAATTGTTGTGGGAGCGGTTGTAAAGTTGTATTGTTAATTGCATACCTTCACACATGGTTCCATTTCCTGTATAACCTTTATTGCAGGTACAATTGAACGACCCAGTGGTATTACTGCAAGTTGCCTGACTGTGACAATTATGAGTCCCAAGTGAGCATTCGTCAACATCTTCAAAGGCAATAAAGATTGAATATTAAACAACTGAGTTGGTTTTCCTTAATGCACGTGTGTTTATATGATAACGTGCAATTAGACTGTAACTATAACTTATTTATAATTGTCTCTTTTTGAAGTATAAATGCTTTTTATGATTAACTATTAATGGTTATTTTCTTGCTGAGCAGTTTATAGTATAATTATAGGTGTGCCAAAGACAGTCTTGCATGCCTGTTAGTGGTCTCGTCCGATTCCAGAATTTAGATTTTAAACTTAGAGCAAAATTATAACAAAATTGTAATGCAAACTACGTACCTTTGCACGTGGTTCCATCTCCTGTATAACCTTCATTACAGGTACAAGTGAACGAGCCAGTGGTGTTTTTACACGTTGCGTGATTGTCACAATTGTCACTACCAAGAGCGCACTCATCAACATCTTTAAAGGTAATAAATGATGAATTTTAAACCACCGAGTCGTCTTTTTTAGAGATACGTGCACATAATATAGTAAATTAATTTGCAATATTGTGTAATAATTATTATTGTCTTCTTCAACAGCTTATATATGCCTGTTTGTGGCCAAAGACAGTGTTTTGTGCGTGTTCGTCGTGCCTTTCCCAGTCTTTGGATCTTGGAACTTTAGACGCTGTTCCCAAAGAACTGATGAATTTACATCATAAGCAGTTAAATGAATGCAAAGTACGTACCTTCGCACGTGACACCATCTCCTGTATAACCTTCATTACAGGTACAAGTAAACGAACCAGTGGTGTTTTTACACGTTGCTTGATTGTCACAGTTGTCAGTGTCAAGTGCGCATTCATCAACATCTTTAAAGGTAATAAATCATGAATATTTGGCAAAAAAGGCGGGCAGTTTCGATGAATGCGTACATTCGAGGCAGCTGGGATTACAAATTGGATAGCAATTGAGAAATAGTTGAGAAATAAGAAGGACTGAAAAAGTTTTTGTAATTAAAACGAGTTCCAAATAATTATATGATCTTTAGGTTTCTTTTGAATTAAATAAATCTTTATTGCAAATGAAGATAAAGTTATAGCTGAAATAAATGTGGTTGACTTGCATATACGAAAATTTGTTGGTAAACTTCGTTTATAAAATCAGGATCTTAGCTAGACTGTTTAATTGGGGGACCGTCATAATTTATATATCCACGTTTATATATCATAGGAACAATAGCGTAGAAAATAAATCAGTGTAGAATAGGTGTAATATATGAATATACATTCCCCGCGCAATTAAGCTTCTAGTTACGGCTCTGTATTCAAGATGATCAACGAACGGCATAATTGTCGTGCCAGTGGTTGCAAAGTTGTATTGTTAATTCCATACCTGCACACATGATTCCATTTCCTGTATAACCTTCATTGCAGGTACAAGTGAACGACCCCGTGGTATCATTGCACGTTGCCTGACTGTGGCAATTGTGAGTCCCAACTGTGCATTCGTCAACATCTTCAAAGGTAATAAAGATTGAATATTTAACGAAGGAGCTGGTTTTCTTTAATGATTAACTGTTAACGGGCTATTAATAGTCTTGCTGAGCAGTTTATAATTATTATAGTTATAGGTGTTCCAAAGCAGCAGTGTTGTTAGTGTTTTTCGCATTCCGATTCCAGAAATTAGATTTTAAATTAAGACCAAAACTATAACAAAATATTAATGCAAAGCACATACCTTCGCATGTAGTACCATTTCCTGTATAACCGTCGTTACAGGTACAAATGAACGAACCGGTGGTATTACTGCACTTTGCCTTACTGTCGCAATTATGAGTCCCAAGTGTGCATTCGTCAACATCTTGAAAGATAATACAATTGAACATTAAACGACGGACACTGTTAAATAACTCAATGTGCATATTTTGCTCATATAACAGTGTCAAATTTCATTGTCATAATTATGACTGTTGCTTTGACAATCTCATCAGTGACAATTAATTATGAGTTCAAAGTTTGCATTCGTCAGCATCTTCTAAGGTAATATAATTGAACATTAAACGACGGACACTGTTAAATAACTCAATGTGCATATTTTGCTCATATAACAGTGTCAAATTTCATTGTCATAATTATGACTGTTGCTTTGACAATCTCATCAGTGACAATTAATTATGAGTCCCAAGTGTGCATTCGTCAACATCTTCAAAGGTAATATAATTGAACATTAAACGACGGACACTGTTTAATAACTCGATGTGCATATTTTGTTCATATGGCAGTGTCAAATTTCATTGTCATAATTATGACTGTTGCTTTGACAATCTCATCAGTGACAATTAATTACGAGTTCAAAGTTTGCATTCGTCAGCATCTTCTAAGGTAGCAAAGATTGAATATTTAATGCGCGTTCATACAGTAACGTCCAAATAGACTGTAGAAGTTATAATTCTTCTTTTTATGAAAAAAAATTATTTTATGAAAAACAAAAATAGTAATAAAAAGTACATACCTTCGCACGTAGTTCCATTTCCTGTATACCCTTCATTGCAGGTACAAGTGAACGACCCACTGGTGTTTTTACACGTTGCTTGATTGTCACAGTTGTCAGTGTCAAGTGCGCATTCATCAACATCTTTAAAGGTAATAAATCATGAATATTTGGCAAAAAAGGCGGGCAGTTTCGATGAATGCGTACATTCGGGGCAGCTGCGATTACAAATTGGATAGCAATTGAGAAATAATTGAGAAATAAGAAGGACTGAAAAAGTTTTTGTAATTAAAACGAGTTCCAAATAATTATTGATCTTAGGTTTCTTTTGAATTAAATAAATCTTTATTGCAAATGAAGATAAAGTTATAGCTGAAATAAATGTGGTTGACTTGCATACATATAACGAAAATTTGTTGGAAAACTTCGTTTATAAAATCAGGATCTTAGCTAGACTGTTTAATTGGGGGACCGTCATAAATTTATATATCCACGTTTATATATCATAGGAACAATAGCGTAGAAAATAAATCAGTGTAGAATAGGTGTAATATATGAATATACATTCCCCGCGCAATTAAGCTTCTAGTTACGGCTTTGTATTCAAGATGATCAACGAACGGCATAATTGTCGTGCCAGTGGTTGCAAAGTTGTATTGTTAATTCCATACCTTCACACATGATTCCATTTCCTGTATAACCTTCATTGCAGGTACAAGTGAACGACCCCGTGGTATCATTGCACGTTGCCTGACTGTGGCAATTGTGAGTCCCAACTGTGCATTCGTCAACATCTTCAAAGGTAATAAAGATTGAATATTTAACGAAGGAGCTGGTTTTCTTTAATGATTAACTGTTAACGGGTTATTAATAATCTTGCTGAGCAGTTTATGATTATTATAGTTACAGGTGTTCCAAAGCAGCAGTGTTGTTAGTGTTGTTCGCATTCCGATTCCAGAAAATTAGATTTTAAATTTAGACCAAAACTATAACAAAATATTAATGCAAAGCACATACCTTCGCATGTAGTACCATTTCCTGTATAACCGTCGTTACAGGTACAAATGAACGAACCGGTGGTATTACTGCACGTTGCCTTACTGTCGCAATTATGAGTCCCAAGTGTGCATTCGTCAACATCTTGAAAGGTAATACAATTGAACATTAAACGACGGACACTGTTAAATAACTCAATGTGCATATTTTGCTCATATAACAGTGTCAAATTTCATTGTCATAATTATGACTGTTGCTTTGACAATCTCATCAGTGACAATTAATTACGAGTTCAAAGTTTGCATTCGTCAGCATCTTCTAAGGTAGCAAAGATTGAATATTTAATGCACGCTCATATATTGTAACGTCCAAATAGACTGTAGAAGTTATAATCCCTCTTTTTATGAAATAAAAATGTATTTTATGACAAACAAATTAGTAATAGAAAGCACATACCTTCGCACATAGTTCCGTTTCCTGTATAACCTTCATTGCAGGTACAAGTGAACGACCCATTGGTGTTTTTACACGTTGCCTGATTGTCACAGTTGTCAGTGTCAAGTGCGCATTCATCAACATCTTTAAAGGTAATAAATCATGAATATTTGGCGAAGAATGCGGGCAGTTTCGATGAATGCGCACATTCGGTTAAGAGTACTATTTTCGAGCTGCGATTAGTAATTGGATAGCGAATGAAAAAATTGGAGAAACAAGAGGGACTGAAGAAATATTCCAGAATATATTGTATAAAAAAATAATCTATAACATTTCAGTCGTAATTTACATCGCGTGAACTTACACGCATCTATATATTTAAAACGTGGAACACTCATGTATAAACCATATACCACGCAGGTTGGTAAGTCTCGATTTCACTGCATTATGGAAAGAATACGTTAAAGCACTTAAATACAGTAGCGTAGCTACCAAAGATATCAAATATCGAACCCTGTAGTGGAACGTGTTTATGCTTACCAGTACAGCCTGTGTTATTTTTTTCATATCCAGGAAGACAAATACACACATAACTTGTGTATGTGTTCGTACATAACGCGTTGTTGCCACAGCCAGTAGTATGGATACTATTTTGTGGGTTGCATTCGTCATAATCTGGGAGGAAAAAAAAGTATTATGCCATTAATTTTAACGATCGTAAAATGAATAAAAAGTTTTTTGCAAACAAACTAAACATCCCTGGAGGAAATAAAAAGGACAAAAAGGTAAACAAAATTCACAACAAAGCTACCAAAGTTGTAGGATTTTCTTATGATAATAATAAACAAGTAATGTTGCTCGTACAGTTTGGGATTAACTCTCCCCGACGGCTAGTCCTATTTTAGCAAAATTTTAAACATCACTCGTATCTTAATCCCGAATTGTAGTCGCCATCGCACGCCTGTGCTAATTAATAATAATAAAAGCTTTAGTGAAAAACAAAATATTTACGAAGAAAAAAAGAAATTTATGTAATGTGATTATAAATAGACTACAGAGGAAAGGTGTACCCCCAAGAGGATACGCCTTAGCGACGATAATAACTCTTCTATGATGGGCTTGGCGCCCTATCTAAGAGACCGTCAGGTAATTGAGTGCACGCAATATGGGAAAGGTGGCGAATGGCCAGCAGCAATTTGAAAACTAACAAAGACCGAATACCCAAGCCACAAACGGTCAGTTTAAGCGTGACATCGCAAAAGACAGCGCTCGTTTAAAGTTAAACCCACCTCCTCCGCAAAGCCTCCACTAACAATTAGGTACATTGGATGATTTACAGTAGCTGATATATATAGAGAGAGAACTGTTATATCTCAATATATAGGTGATGTTAGTAGGTGTATATATGTAAACATGTACTGGCGGTAGTTTGCCTCCACCCTTTTCTGAGCGTGAATATTTGGAAACTTAAGGGAATGTATTCATAAATATCGTTTTGTTTGACAGAAATAAAGCGGCTAGGAGAACCATCACTCCTAGCCAAAATTATCCCAAAACGGCGTAAAATTTAATGTGTCGTTATTAATGCCCTGAAAACTGAGCTAGCGGAAAGGGTATGCAAAATTCATGGCTGGCAATATATCTATGCGGAAATAAATCACATTACATAAAGGTATTTTGCGCCTAATCCATAATTTTTGGCCCTGAGAATTTTAAATCAATATTGTCTCGGTGATATTCTTAAGATAAAGTATTTTCTCTGTCTCGGCACCAAGTTCAGCAAATAATGAGCGGAATTCCTTCACCAGTGTAAACCTTTTATATGTACTCTTTGTCTCTTTGGTCATGATTTTCAAACTATAGGAAGCCATAGATAGTGCAAAGTTTCATGCCCTCTAATGCCTGAGCAACGTGTCGTCTGTCTAAAGAACCCGGTTTAACAAAACCCTGATTCAAGCAGACAGTTCATTTTCAATATAAACCTCGTGTCATCGTGTTTAGACGATTGTGATATTCTTGATACTCGTTCGTGAAACTTCTACTTAGAGCTCTGTTCACATGCACGATCCAATTTTGTTAGATCCCATTCACTTCTGATAGTCGTTTAATAGTTTGTTGACTTGCAATATGGGCAGCAAATACACTGAAGCCAATTCAGTATTGCTTCATCGATAATAGGCTACATCCCATACGTCAAAAGTGAATTGGATCGAACAAAATTAGGTCGTGTTAGGGCACCTTAGCCCCAATTGCCCGGCTGGTAAAGGGGGCGGGGGGCAGTTGCCCCTGCAAATTTCCTTTTGAATTTACATCAGCCATATGAAATTATGTATCATATTCATCTTACTAATTGCTTCAACCTAATTACATCATTCTATAGAAACGCAATATCTTGTAATTTAAAGCAATATTAGAAAGATTATATGACAGAGTTTTTTTCTTAAAACTTGAACCTGCCCGCGACTGCCACCCCCTATCAATCTTAATACTTTTACATGACCAAACGCATCTGCGGACGAGGGTAGTTGATTGTTACTGCATGGAAAGTCTTTTAAGACAACAAAAATTCCTTTATTGAACGAGCTGGTGTTTCATTCGGCAACCCATTTAGCAATGCTTTTGTTATATGTTAGCGAAAATATTGGATAAAACGTTAATATATTTGGGAGTTAAATACCTTTCACACTAAATTGCCTTATTACTTCAGTGAGATTTGTGCTCTCGCTGATTTGGAAATCTGCTCCAAGAAATGTGCCGTTTTGCGTTACATTCATTGACTTGACTAACTCTTCTTGAATATTTTCATTGCTTATTCCAGCGGAATCATTGAATGTTGCAACGTAATCAAAACCAACAGATCCTGGGCTGAAATCGTAAAAAGAGAAATCAGACTTTACTAGATATATAATGCAAGATTCGTGTCTTGACGTTTACCGCCAGAAACTTTTGTTCCTTACAAATGATACTTTGAAACTCGTGATCTTTTTGCCATTTGCGAAAGGATATTTTTGCCCGAAAATATGTGGTAACGGGATACTCTGTGGCGTAGCCAGCCTGACCTGACGATTTAGTCATGCTATGAAAATTTTATGTTATTATTATTATTCATTTATTGCTTTTATTCATTATTCATTATCATTATACATTTATTGCTTATTTCTTATTGCTTAGAAATTCATTAGCATCTAAATTGTCGGGCTGGCTGCGCCACTGGGGATCAGTAGCGTGAAAACCATAAATTTCTAAAGACATGCATGAATAATTATAATAACTCGAAATTTACGTATAGCGGGACAAAATCGTCAGGCTCGCTACTACGAACGTTTAAAGTGTATTAAAAATTGACAAATTAAAATATCCATACATCCTATATAAACGTCTTAATTGGCTAAATAGAGATTACTTCATGGTTGGCGAGTGCGTACGATTTTTATGCACGAGTTGTGAAGGATCGCAATACGAACGAGTGAGCGCAGCGAACGAGTGAGTTTGCGATCCTTCGCAACGAGTGCATAATAAAAATCGTACAAACGAGCCAACCATGAAGTAATTTGTTTATTAAATGTGTATAGAGATCAATTTGACAACGACACGCTTTTAATATACCAAAACACAGCGAGCAACAAAATCGAAACTTTATGCATGAAAACATATTTACTATCGTTCAGTTTCTTTGTAATTTAGTTCAATAGAAGTTAGACATTCTTTCGGAAAGAATGTGCTGAATGTGAAAATATCTTGAATATGAGAATTATGTTTTGAATATCACTTCTATATTTCGACGCCATCTTGAAAGAAAATGTAAACAAATTGCCGCCAAAATGACATACGACAATTTTTCACGTGTGAAGAATCGTACGTCCAATCAAAAGCCGTGTATGGCATTTTTTCACACGTGAAAAACATCGTACGTCCAATCAAATTGCATGAAATTAATTTGCACAGTGAAATACGATTTTTATTTCATCATTCTGCTGTGCATAAATCTCTATACACATATAATAAAGCTATTTTACAAATCTTAGTAAGAATATATCTTTGTGCCTGCATTCACTGATTAATTGGATTCTTTTGTTTAAAGTTGCGCTGCCATGCTTACATAAAATATACGGGGTGTCTCAAAAAACCCGAAAACTATTGAAATCACCCATAACAATGTCAGTTGTTAGAGTTTAATGCCTAAGAACTCTGTTGGGATAATATCACAATAAACACTCGTTGTTCCGCGGTCAGCTGTACTATTTTCTTTCGAAGCAATAACAAGGCTAATTTAAATGTAATCATATTCACAATTTCAACAAATATGTGTTTAGAATCATATATGAGTAGTGTTCGATATACCAAAGTATAGGGCTAATAAGCAGTGCTTGTTATACGAAACAAATTTGTAGTGAATAAAATCATATGAAGTAAACCAAGTTTATTGTAAATCAATTATGATTTTTGGCACTTCACTCGATGCAGGAATATTCTAGAGGTTTAAAGAGTCTTAATTTCGAGTGGTATTATACACACTGCAAATTCAACCATAGGTCCTCCGGCAGGAATCGAACCTACGCTTTTGCGATGCCGGTGCAATGCTCTTGTCAATGAGCTACAGAGGTAGCTGACAAGAGCAAGCGCGGTTAATGTGTATATGATGGTAATGCCGGAAATAGGTGAGGGTAAATCAATTATGATTTTTAAATCTTCCTGCATCGAGTGAAGTGCCAAAAATCATAATTGCGCTTGCTCTTGTCAGCTACCTCTGTAGCTCAGTGGCAAGAGCATTGAACCGGAGGACCTATAGTTGACCCATTTTTCAACGATATCATGTTTTATGATACGTAAAATCCGTTCAAAAAAACAGTCCCAAAAAAACTCAAAATTGAAATCGCACAATGTAATAATTAGAGTTTGAATACCTAGCCAAAAATGACCTTTTTTAACAAAATATAATTATTACAATACAAAAATATGGAAAAAATTAAATTTATAGACTACAACTCAATGACTACGACCTTCAACATGTCCCTCTTCTCTGGCAGATTTTACGTTATATTTTTGTAACTAGAATTTAATAACTTGTCTTTAATCCCCACTGTAAAAAAATTTAGGGTCATTCAAAATGCCGGTGATTTCAAAATTTTGTGTTTTTTTGTGACACCTTTACACCTTTTAGCTACGGCCGTGAACAAAGAGTTGAAGAAAATTTCAAAGGCTGTTAAAACTTACAATAGTCGTACAATGATGACTGCCTGAAAGGTAGAACGTAGCTTCGCTGTTCCCGTGTAGAGAGACGTAAGCTATACAAAGACAAAATATAAACTGTTATACATAATTATGCATACATTAATAATATTCTTGTTAATATTAATAACATTCTTGATATTTTGATGGTGAATCAATACATGATGAATTATCAATTTGCTTTCGGTCCGTTACCCTGGGGCTTATGCAGTGCAATGGTGAATATTGCACTGACACGGGCCCGGGTAAAAGATAGAAAGCGCTCTGCTTATATGGTGTTGTTCACAAATTGACGATTTTAGTAAAAAAAAACTTTTTAGTATTTTTTTAAAAAAGGAAATTTCTCAAATGTAGCTATTAACATCATAATTATTTCGTTGTTCATGCATGACGTCGGTTCTTTGATTTTAACATCCTTTACAGGAAATTTTAATTGGTATAAACGCATTGCAAGGACCAAACTTAGCTATACCTCCACACTGTAAACCTTATAATCGATTACTTACAATCATGGGTTTAAACATTGTGTTATTTCGGAAAAAGTAAGGCTAATGATCCGAATTCAGAACACTTTTTCTATTCACAGCACTTATAATGAATGATATACTAGTCAAATAACTAAAGCATATAAGTCCAACTAACGCATATGGGAGTGTACGAAATATGATGGATGATTCAACTAAAACGACATTTTAAATTTTTTACAGTTTCGACATGAAGTGTTCAGACGCCATTGCCACTGCCCAATTTTACTGAATATGTATATGAGTGTTGATGAATGGAATACAAAAACAAAAATATCGAAGCAAAAAGCACAAGAGCGATTCCATGAATATTTATCAGAATGTCGTAGTTGTACATACCTCCTTTTTTAACCGTTGAATAATTTGAAAGTACTCCAAACTTTGCGTATTATTATAAGCAGGGATGTAGACGTAATTTATAATCACAAATCGACCTTCGACAGAGGCCTCAATATCTAAGAGGAAGAGAAGACGCATGAAAGTTGTTGTTTGATCGTTTAGGTGGGGTAGGACAGTCATGTACTGTAAAATTTTAATTGTATAATGTTATTAATGTAATGTTGAAATTACGGCGTGCTAATTGGCCGATTTATTTCAGTAATGATACATTTCGTTGATTATTACATTTTGTAATCATCGGCAAATACTGTATTATCATTGGCTAACAGGAGTGGGATTTGAGCGGCTCGTCCAACTTTATTAAAATTTTAAAACATCGACCGAAATGATATACCTACATCAGGTACTAATAAGTTATACAGGCATTGTAAAATCAACATTTCGTTTTCCAATACAAGATCTTTTCGTTGTCATAATGTATTTATATAGACTTTGATCGGCAATATCCCTTAAGGTGGATTTCTATTCAGTACAAAATGTCGCGTGATCGACAATTTAGGTCAATTTTCAATCCTGATATACAAACATAGAAATAATAGACATAGAATGCGTACTGATACCTCTTCCCTTACAAAATTTGTCTCCAAAGATGGCGGATTTATAAGGGCATTTTTCCTCGTCTCAGACTCCTGCGAGGAGTTTTTTGTGCACGGTCGCGACGAGCGAGATACAAATATGAGTGAGTTTAAGAGAAAAGCTTTTTGTTTTGTCACGCACTGGAGCATCAATTGGTTTTGGTTTTGACTACATTGTTTCATGAATTGATTGATGGAGCTAGTGAGATAGCTGTTCCTAGCTTTCGATCAATCTTTTTTCAAGCGTACATAAGTCATAATACGGAAAAAATGGAATCCTGCTTCACTGTCGACATTATAACGCTGTCTTTTATAGTGGGAAAAATGAAAATTACCTACACAAAGACAAGGTATAACTTTTAAAATGTGGGGTACATAATTAACACTTGATCTCCTCTGGTACTGAGGTACGCTAAATGATGTTTTTGATTTTATTAAACTCGTTTTATGTGTTCTTATTTATTCACGAAATGCACGAGAAGCGAAATAAAATATAGTCATAGTCATTTCTCTTCCCACGGCTTCAATTATTTATGCAGAAATCGCTCGTTTTTACGTGAAAACCTGTTAAAAATCTATACAGAGTGATATGTTTTTCGTAGCTAGGCAAAAAGGTTTTTAACCATTTATCGTTGCATCAAAGCAAGGTCATCGGACAAATAATCAAGTTCAAGCCAATTAACAATTTATGTAAACAAACTGTTGCATATAAAAAACGCGAAAATCCTCAAAAAACAAAGCACAGTTGAAAAATTCGCTAGACAATGGTAACTGACAACCTATTACAATAAACATTATTCTCTACCAACTATATTTCCTACATAACAATAAATATATAAGGCGATAGGCCGGTGGTTTGTCAGTTGTGTGCTCAACGGTGAAAATCGACTCTTTCTCGATTATCACTTGTCGCTTTTTCTGTTTTTTTTTCTGTTCTGCAACTTAACGCCGAACTGGGTTTGGCATTTTTAACCTCTGTGTGCTAATAATTGACTGTAAAATATGCTTTTACCCAAAATTAAAGTTTTGAATTAAATGTTTTTTTGAAAGATTTCTCACTCCTCGCGAGATTCAAAATGGCGCGTTTATAAGGGCACAGCATGAAAAAATGTGGGACACGTATTCGTGATAAGTACGCATTCTATGTCTATTATTTTTATGTATACAAAGCACGCAAAATTTAAAACAACAATTCAAAATGGTTGCCATTGTCAGACGGATTGTATTCATTAAACTGTAGGTAAACTGGAACGCTAACTCCTCACAAATATCCCTATTTTAGCTTGAAGCCAAAATAGTTTTTCTGAGTTATGAGCTGAAAAGCCTGAAATACTTGACGTCAGATGTTGGGCTGTATGTCAAATTAAAGCTATTGAAAAGTTACAATTTATTTGGAAATTTAAAGATTTAAACTACAGAGGAAGTATAATTTATATAAAAAAAACAATTACCAACCGGCAAAAACTCGAGAAGTTTCCAATATTTTTTAGATATTTCCCTTTAAGCTAAACTCTCGAAATTTCTACACGAAATATAACTTTTTATTAAGTATTTCATCTCATAACTCAAATTATTCGTATTCGCTTGATTTAAATAAAAAAGCTGAATATATCTTCGATGAACGTGGAATATTTTCAAGAGGTTCAGACATTTCTGACGCTTGTAAACTGAAAGCATCAGGTAATTTGCAATCGATTTTTCAGGTGAAGCTTATCTTTGGAAATCAAACTTTGGTTGAAAGCTTCATTTTTAGGGCTGCCTTTGCAAACAACAACAAATTTGCCTTTTGGTAGTTCGCTGCTGTTACTCCTGTGTTTAGGAAAAAGTTTCTCAAATTATACACATTCAAGGTTACATCTGTTATTGTCTTGATATTTATTGTTTGGTTTGTAATATATATTGTTTTTAATGGTTTGCTTGTCTGAACTTTTTCCCGCACTGAAAATTAGCCAATCAAATCTCTCTACCCAAAACCAACGCGCCGCGTGCGGAAAGGTCCATTAGAAAAGCGATCGCAAAAAGTCGATCGCGTTACATTTTGCACCTAGTGAAAATACTCGTTAACCACGTGACGGAACGCGAGGTACTAATTCTGCCTAGATATTTTAATTACACCCGGGTATTGTGTCGCACAACGCACAGAACCAAAAGTTGTTTAAATTCAAATTTTATGAACAGTGTATGGTTGACATTAGATGGTCTAGTTGGTCGTTTTAGTTGATTAGGCGCATGGGCGAAATATGAACGGAAATTGTAATTAGTAGCACCTAGATTGGTTATTTTTGTATTACATTCAGAACCCCGGTGTCCATATCTCGTTATAAGGTAATGAAACTAAGAGGAATTGCAGGCACATGGAGCTGGCTGAGGTTGCCAACGATGTTATGCTTCAATGTACGCAAGACCTACCAGTACATTCTCCATCAATAATTTGCTCTCCTGGACTATTACAATAACAAAGGAATGCTCCAGGGTAGTTGACACATTTTTGACCTGCACCTGAACATTTTCGCGATGCTCCAACGCATTCGTTTATGTCTGCAAAGATAGAAATTAGAAATCCATTTAGCCTAATATTGTAGAAAAGCAGAATTAACTAAAAGTTGGCATCAAATGTGGTGTAACAACTCCCTAAAATAGACAAAGCACTTCTCGACGTTTCGACTCGAGGACCTTCGTCAGGAAAGTTAGTATTAGTATTTCAGGAGAGTTAGCTTTTCATACTAATTCTCTTGACGAAGGCCCTCGGTTGAAACGTCGAGATGTATTTTGTCTATTTTAGGCAGTTGTTATACCTCTGTCTATTGCTATGATTTCCCTAGCAACGCGACCCTGGGAAATCTTACACAGCAAAAACTCAATTTCATCCAGTAAACTGTTGCCATTGACGTTTTTTTATTTCTCAGTAGACATTATACTTGCTTTCCTATCGTTTTTAAAGTTAACGTTTTATCATTGTATACTTGTATTATTCTAATCCGTGAAGTTTTAAAATTTGTTCTCCCTTAGAGACCTTTTTTTTTCATTTTGACACTGATATAAAACCAAATCGCTTATTTACTGACATCTCAGGAAAAAAGTGTGTTTTTCTGATTCTCAACCGGTTACTGTTGCCCGAGGCGCACCACGGATTTTTTCCTTTACTTTTAAATCGACAAACTATAACGCTGCATTTGCTGCTGCTTTCCAGCGTTTCTGCACTGCATGTGACAGTTGTGAGTCCCAAGTGTACATCGTCAAGTGTGCATTCAGCAACATGAAAATAATAAAATTGAAGATAAACGACCGGCATTGCACTACCCTGATTATAAATGTTGCATGCTTTGACAATCCTAGTAGAATATTGAATTTTTCAACTGTTGTCGGTTTAATATCTCTTTAACAGTTATAATAATTTTAAATTTAACTGTTAACAGCTTATTATCTTCCTAAGCAGTTTATATTATATAGCTGCGATATATGTTCGTCAACATACTGAATTAAGCCTTTAAGGTCATAAATACTGAAAATTCGCACGTTTGGAGCAACTGTACATTATTCTAGAGCTACGATTACAATTTGGATGGCATATGAGAAATAAAGGAGAAAAAAGTGAGCAACAGTTAATATAACATAAAAACTAGAAATGAATGCATGCAGCAACCCCTCGCCTCGGTTGAACGAAATCAGTTAAGCATAGGGATGGTAACATGATTGTTAGAAAATTTATGTGGTTGGGGTTTTGGAGGGTACATCGTATAGAGAGAAAAAGAAATTGAGAGAAGTATGGAAATATTTTTCTGCACGTGGAAACACTGTAGTCATAGCAACTCGCGACGGCCGTATATTTTTAAAGAATCAAAGTTTAATTATTAATTACCATGAAATATAACATGAGACGTCTCATACAACTTCCGAAGTTTTATGTTACGCTTCGACCGGTTTTTGCACGGTTTTTTTCATTATGAAAACGAAGTTTATAAATGAAATTACATATTGTATATCATATAAAACATTCAGATTTATAGTGAAATACATTTGAAAATATTAACGTTGTGTTTACCACAAAAGAATGACTTTTTAAAGCTGTGCCGCATGAAATATTATCAAGTGGAAAATCTTCCAACTTCATTATACACTGTGAATTCGGTCGAAACTCGAAAATTTCGTCTTGTTATTTGTTAAACCGTGAAAAGTCCTTACCACATTCAAGTTTCCTTCTAATTTAATTAAAAATACGTATATTCCATATATATGAAAACATAAATTTAAAAATTTCATCAAAATTTTGCGAAATGACAGTTATTCACTGACGTTTGAAAATACAGATTTTTGTCTCGACCAATCAATCGCGCATAACGTAGAAGACCGTCCATGGCGTGAGGTCCATTGCATAATGGCGGACGATTTTGATTTCGCATTTGCACATCGTGGGTGTAAATATCCCAGCGGAATTAGTACCCTCGCACGGTGCTCCGCACCGGCTCGGGGATAAATGGGCAACAGGTGCTGGAGCAATTCATGTGCCAACGGTAGCAAAGTTGTATTGCAAATTGCGTACCTTCACACGTGGTTCCATTTCCTGTATAACCTACATTGCAGGTACAATTGAACGACCCATTGGTATTACTGCACGTTGCTTGACTGTGACAGGTGTGATTCCCAAGTGTGCATTCATCAACATCTTTAAAAGTAATGAATGATAGCTAAATATTGATGTAAACCGGTCAGTTTCTTAACGCAATTTTTTATGCCATATCGCTCTTACTATTTGGGAAAAAGGAAGTGAGTGGTGGTGATGACTATGAACGATTTAAATATGCAAAAAAGCTCCATTGACCGAAATGATATACTTACATCAGGTACTAATAAATAATACAGGTATTGAAAATCAACATTTCGTTTCCAATATAAAATCTTTTCGCTGTAATAATGTATCTATATAGACTTTGATCGGAAATATCCCCTAAGGTGGATTTCTTTTCAGTGCAAAATGTCGCGTGATCGACAATTTAGCACAATTTCCACTCCTGATACACAAAGCACGCGAAATTTAAAACAACAAGACGCCAGTTCTGGCGTTAACTCCGGCGCACGTGCCAGTCTTCAATATAAAGCTTCTAAACATAAACAATACAGTTCATATTCATTTAGATGCCTTGCGAGCCTAAATGTTCGATCGCGAAATTCAGAAGCACATCGTACTTAAAAAGTATAAAAGTTCAATTGTTCAAAAATGTAAATAAACCGCGTGACATACTCGCTTTGTCTTACACTTTGCCTTTGGAATTCGCACTTATATAGATATATTAAATCTTCAATCCTGTGCAAAATACGACGTGTCAACGCGCCCATACATGACCACATCTTGTTAAACGGAGAAATAGCAGCGATATTATTAAAATAGGACCAGAATCTACATGTATTAAATATATCTTACCCAATTCAAATCTAAACTTAATTCAACGGCATGAAAGAACGGTTTATTTGTTCCTCTTGGAGGAATTGCCGTCTCATGCGAGCGAATCGAATCGCGCATCGGAAAATCAGCCAAAGCTGTGCACCACAACTCTTGGGAGATAAGACTGGGACGTAGATAAATAAGGTCACATACACATTTCAAATACTAGTATATTTCGCGCCATTACACACTTGCGACGACAAAAAGTAAAAAAACAAACCGACCGCATTGCACTGCCCTGATTATAAATGTTGCTTTGACAATCTTTCAACAGCCTTTGAACATCCTTTTCACTTACGCGTTTTTTATACGCACGTACACGTACGAAAAGTTTTAAATGCTTTTAAATTTTTATTATTTAACATCTAGGTCAACAAATGCATAGTAAATTATACAGAAAACTAAGTTCCTTTGATTTATTCACTTAGTTTTTCAAAGGTAACAGGTAACTTTTACGTGGGTGTATGTGCGTATGAAAAATGCGTATGTGGAAAACAGTCTTGACGATACGATCGTACTATACGCCATGTAAATTTCATACTATTATAATTTTTCATTTCTTTAGAAATTTATTGTTTTCACAGTCAATGAACACTAAAATATCAGCATAGCGGAACAAATCGTGGCAACAAACTTGCTGGCAAACTGCGTTCATATAATTAGATATAAAATGAGCAACGGACTGTTAGCAATTTAGGCCGTATTCTGTGGCTCAGGAAATGTTTCGAATACTTGGTGTAATATACGACATATATAGCAGATTCAGCAGTATTAAATGAAGTTTCTCGCATTTTTGCTGTGCAACCAAGTTTCAACAAGGAAGCTTTGAGTGGAGTTTTACGAGGTTTTTCACAAATTTTCATAGTTTTTCAAAACTAAATTAGTCAGAGAAGACAACAATTAATCGAAAAAACATCCGACAATTTGCGATTTTTTTATTAAGGCATTCTGCTCTTGGAATTTACAAATAAAATAACTTGATTTACACGCATCAAAATCACCCAAGAGCGTTTTGTTTCTAGTCAATTTATGTATAAAATAATTCTTTTCCAGCATACCCTTTGTTTTTATATTAACTACTTTTTATATATACACGTTTTCTCAACAAAACTATTTACAACCTCTCAGTTTTTTGCCAAAGTTAATTACCAACGCCAACATCTATTTAATACGTGATTTGCAACGTACAACTACAGTACATGTTAAAATATTAAACACGCATACCAAAGTTGATATCAGCCTAATGTTTTAATGTTGCTGAGCCGGACACGAAAACCAGGAAAAACCTGGAACGTGTTCTCCCTCCCATGCTGCAGCAACGCTTTTGCAGGCTAAAAGCCAACACTTCTATTTCTTCTTAGAATTAAATTTTGGCAATTCTTTGTAATAATTATATTATATAACTTGATTAGAAACAAAACGCTCTTGGATGATTTTGATGCGTGTAAGCAAACTTGTCGGATGTTTTTCCGATTAATTGTCTAAGTCTTCTCTGATTAATTTAGTTTTGCAAAACTATGAAAATTTGCGAAAAACCTCGTAAAACTCCACTCAAAGCTTCCTTGTTGAAACCTGCTTGCACAGTAAAAATGCCTGAAACTTCGTTTAAATACCAGTATAAAACTGCTGAATCTGCTACATATGTTGTATATTACACCAAGTATCTCCAGCATTTTCAAAATGGCGTCGATGTATTGCAAAACATGCAAATTCACTGATTTTTCGAAGAAGAAATGCTCGAAAACTGCAGGTTTGTGAAGGTGAAAACAAGTAAAGTTATATAAACTTTCTATAATTTATCCTAATTTTCTATCGTCTTTTCAAGTTGTGCCCGAAGGAGGGCAACGAAAATCGTTTTCTAAACGACTTTTCGTGCCAGAGAAAACGGCCGAATTAATGTGCCAGCGGTAGCAAAGTTGTATTGCAAATTGCGTACCTTCACACGTGGTTCCATTTCCTGTATAACCTTCATTGCAGGTACAAGTGAACGACCCATTGGTATTACTGCACGTTGCCTGACTGTGACAGGTGTGATTCCCAAGTCTGCATTCATCAACATCTTTAAAAGTAATGAATAACAAATATTGATGTAAACTGTTCAGTTTCT